TTCCTCACAGGGGTAAGTATTTACCATCATTTACCAGGGTAAGGGTAACTATACAGTAGACAGAATTCTCAGAATTTTCAACCAAAAACACCAGGTCTGCACCAACATGGATTCCAAAGGATAGAAATATCATTAAGTTTACAGAGTGGTTTTTTTTTTTTAGGGTACAACGGGAGGGAGGTGGGGAGTGAACTTAGGGTCTTTTCTATCTAAGAAGGCATGAGCCATGCTCTTATTCTCTTTTGCCTTTGTTATTTTTCAAAGAGGGTCTTGCATGTATGTCTGGCCAGCCTGGATTACAATCTGCCTATTAACAATTTTTACCTAGCTTGGATTATAACAGGAACAGACACCTAAATATGCTTACAACTCAATAACCAGGATGTTTTTAGGTAGAGTTTTAAAAATAATTTTTTTTTCATTCTCTTATCTCTCCCTTCCTCCTACCCTACTCTCCATGGGAAGGGATTCAGAATGTCTTCTTATCTTACTGATCATAGAAGTGAAAGAACCCATTCAGGACAGGAATGCAACTCTGGAAACTAACACTAGCACATCAAAAAATAAGTGGAACTAAGGCCACCATCTGGTCCAAAGTCATGTCTCAGTATACACATCTAGTAGTCCACGTTCCTGAGCTTTTCCATAAAAACTTCTACCACTACTGGGGACTGTGCTTCCTTCTCAGATACCAGCTCAAGTAGTTCTCATGTTGTCTGGAAAAAACTCTGGTCTCATTATTTGTGAATTGGCATTGAGTTCAGGGAACTAAATTTCCAGTAACAAGATGACAGGTGGGACTGAGAACATGGTTTAGTAGTAGAGTGCTTGCCTAGCATGCATGAGGCCCTGAGTTTGATTCCTCAATATCACATAAACAACAACAAAAAAGACAGGTATGTACTATTATCTGATTGAGATAGGGTCTTGGTGTTTATACCGTGTTGGCCTAAACCTCAACTCTACTGATGTCTATGATTTCTACTTTTAAAGTGGCACTAGTGGCTCTTGGTATGTTGGTGTGTTACCCCAGCTGGTCTTGAACTCCTGGGCTCAAGTGATCCTCTTGCTTTAGTTTCCTAAGTAGCTGGGACTACAGGTATGAAGCACCACACCTAGCCGATGCTCATCAGTGGAAAAATGGAAAAGAAAATGTGGCATTTATTACTATTCAGCAATAAAGAACAAAATTGTGTTGTTTGTAGGTAAATGGATGGAACTGGAGGTCATTATATGTAATAAACCAGACTCACGAAAGATAGAGTATATTTTTCCCTCATGTAGAACCTACAAAAGAAGTCATGAAAGTAAGAGGACTGTTAGGGAAAGGGAAAGGAATTGAGGAGACTGGAATTGGAATATGGGAGGGTAATAGGTGAGGTGAATATAGTCAAAGCAAATACATGTAAGAAAACATTACAAATCCATATTTTGTATAATTAATACTAATAATAAAAGAGCAAAAGATAAACAGGAAAAGGAAATAATAAAGATTGGAACATGAAATAAGCAGAAAGGTAAGAGAGAAAAAATAAAGCATAATCTAGTTTTAAGAGACCAATAAAATTGGTAAGATTCTGGTAGTAGCTTGGGGGAAGAACAAACTATCAAAGATAGAAATGATATGGATGATATCACTATAGATTTTATGAATGTCAAGAAGACAGTAAAGAATATTTTAAGGCAGGCACTGTGGCTCATGCCTTTAATCCTAGTTACTCAGGAGGTAGAGACCAGAGGATCAAGGTTTGAAGGACAGGGAAGTCCATGAGACTCTTATTTCCAATAAACTACCCAGAAAAAGCTGGAAGTGGCACTGTGGTTCAAGTAGTAAAGTGTTGTCCTTGAGCATAAAGAAGCTGAAGGACAGTGTCCAGGCCTTAAGTTCAAGCCCCAGGACTAGAGGAGGGGGGAAACAACATTTTAAATAGTTTTATGTCAATGATCTTGACAACTTAACATGAAATGGATAAATCTCTTCAAACACACTGATTTGTAAACAAAGAAATTAGTCTTTCTTGTAGGATCTTTAAGGATTGTTCTAACATGCTGGCGTAGATTACAGAGAGACATGAAATTAAGTGATTTATTGTATTCACATGTCTGAGAAAATGGAGACTTGGCATGTCACCTAAGGTCATATAGGAGAAGAAGCAGATCAAAGGAATACCTCAATGAAGCAGATAAGGAGCCAAGTGTGAAACCCATATGCAAGTGCCCTGTGAAAAGGTCAGAGTGGATTCCAGGAGCAAAAGGAATGAGAGTACTTAATTGGTGCTTTTGAGTGTCATTAAATCATTAACAAGGGAGGGCAAGAAGGGAAACTTCTGACAGAGTGGTTTACCTGATTTGCTTGGACAGTGTACTCACAACTTGTTAGTGGAGATGTTGAAGCAGCAGGACAATAAAAAAAAAATTCCAACACAGACATAAGCTACCAAGCTAATTTGATAATAAATAAAGGCAATCTTACTAGCTTTCAACCTATTAAATCCAAATTGTATGTAAAAATATGCCCATAGGGGCTCTGGTAGCTCACCACTGTAATTCTAGCTACTTCCAGGAGGCTGAGATCTGAGGATTGTGGTTTGAAGATAGCCTGGGCTTCACAACCAAATGGGTAAGGTTGGTTTAACTTTTAGAAGTTACTCAATGTAACTCATGAACAAACTATTTTAAAAAATCCATACAATCATATCAATGAATATAAAATAAGTATTTGGAAAGATTCAATGCAAATTTATAATAAAAATCTTACAGCAAACTAGAATAGATGGTTCCTTCAATTTGTTAAAAGGTATTTCTGAAAACCTCACAGCTAATATATATTAAACAATGAAAGAAAAATGCTTTCTTCCTAAGTTAGGAACACAGCAAGTGTATCTGCTGTAAGCTCTTTGGGAAATGGAAGTTCTAGCCATGATACTAAGGCAAGATTTTTTTTTTAAAGGCACCTAAATTGGATAGGAGAAAGCAAAATAATCATTATTTGCATGTAATGTAATGTAGGCAAAGTTAAAGTCCCATAAAACATTCTATCACTAGAAATAATGAGTTTTACAAGGGTGTAGTAAGCATGATAAGCCTCCAATTGTAGGGCACATGGGCAGCAAAGATGGTGCTGAGAGGGAGTTGAGTGGGCAGAACCCGATTTGCTTTATGTTCAGTGTGTAACCAGCCCATGGAAGCTTAGGTGCATGATAGGGTGTGACCTTTACAGTGATTGGTTCCTCTTCCTCCCCTCCCATGCCACCTGCTCTTTTTTGCTTTAAAAAGGGTTTGCTCTGTATTAATATACCAGTTTTCCTGCTTGACTTGACTCCCCCTGCGTCTGATTGTCTCCTGGGCTAAAGGAGGCTGGGGAACCGGCAAGCAGCTGCACTTACCTTTCCTCGCACTTACCTTTCCTCAACACCCTCCATCTTTCGACAGATGAAGACCCGACATGCAATAATTGTCTTTGTAGTGCAGGAGGCATGGCTCAAGTGGTGGTAGAATGCTTGCCTAGCAAGCACAAGGCCCTGAGTTCAAGGTCTAATACCTCCAAAAATTGTATTTCTATATATTAGCAACAAATAGCCAGAAATTGAAATGAATAAGATTCCACTTATGGTAACATAAAAATGGAAAATCTCATGGATAAATCTGATAAAAGACGTCTTTTTTTTTTTTTTTTTACAGAAAGTATAAAACTGATTAGAATATAAGAAAAACTGAACAAACGAAGCTATAGATTGTGTTCATGTATTAGAAGATCAAATAGAGTCAAGGTGTGAATTCTGAAATGGATGTGAAGATTCAGTATAATCCTCAGCAAAATCTCAACAGGATGTGTGTGTGTGTGTGTGTGTGTGTAGACACTGACAAATGATGGTAATTTGCCTGGAAATGTACAGCTAAAAAATATTTGAAAAAGTTGTTTACAGTACCTTTCTTCATGACTTAGAAACCCAGAGTAATCAGAACCATGTAAAGAAAGTGAAGAGATCAACTTAAAAGAACAGAGTCCAGAAATAGACATACACATATATGGTCCATTGATCTTCCACAATATTGCAAAGACAATGTAGTAGAGAAGTGAAAGGGTTTTCAACAAATATGCATAGGCATGTAAGGTTACTGATCTGAAAAAAAAGTGCGTTTTCATTTGTGAAAGCAAATTTCTTCTTTCCATCTGTATAAAAATTCTTTTTTTTTAATTGATCATGGGGCCTGAACTCTGGGCCTGGGCACTGTCCCTCAGCTCTTCAGCTCAAGGCTAGCGCTCTACCACTTGAGCCACAGTGCCACTTCTGGTTTTCTGGTGGTTAATAGGAGATAAAGTGTTTCACGGACTTTGCTGCCTGGGCTGGCTTTGAACCGTGATCCTCAGATCTCAGCCTCCTGAGTAGCTAGGATTTCAGGCGTGAACCACCTGCACCCTGCTAGATTATTCTTTAATGATTCTATGCCAGCCATGGGGCTTGAACTCTGGGCTAGCGCTCTACCACTTGGGCCCAAACTCCACTTCCTGCTGAGTCTCGTGGACTCCCGTGCCGGGACTGGCTTCCTGGCTTCGAACTGCGATCCTCCGATCTCAGCCTGCCGAGTAGCGAGGGTTACAGTCGTGAGCCACAGACGCCTGGCTTCTTCCCATCTTTTGCGAAGAATATGGGGATCCATCCAGTTTGGGCATTGGGGTTTAAATCTGTGCGAATGACTTAGGAGAACTCATGTAATCCACTGTCAAGACCAGGCGGGACGCAAACCGGCCCTTCGTGCGCAGTATGAGGTGCACCTACCGCGAAGATTGCCCGCGCGCAGCCACACTGTGCGTGCGACGTCCAGCGTGCAGTGGGCCCCGCAGCGAGAGGCAGGCCCCGCAGCGAGAGGCAGGCCTCGCGCGATAGCCATGTGACTCGCTTGCTGCTCTCGCGTGTTGCGAGAAGCGTCTTGTGCGCACGCGCAGTGCTGGACACGGAAGTCCGCGTGCCGGGCGGTGGGTGGAAGCCCGTCTCGGGGGTGAAGGCGGCCGGATCCAGCATGTGGGGCCAGGGGAAGTTTGCTGCTTCGAGTGCAGCTGCGGCCGAGGAGAGTGAGAGGTTGGTAAGGCTCCCCGGGGAGGGGTGCGGGCGGCCGTCTCAGGAACCGCCTTTCCCTCGCCGTCTTGGGTGAGGGCTCCAACCGAGGACGAGGCCTGTTTCCGGGCCTCCGCGGCGCTCGCGGGCGGCTACCGCTGCGGTCCACCGACGCCCGGGGTCCACCGACGCCCGGACTGCCGCAGGTGGTGCCCCTGGGGGTTCTGGGCTCCTCTCCCCGCACAGTCGGCGCCCCACGGTTTAAACTGTCCTTTAGAAAGCAGCTTCTGTACAGCTGCTGGCGGCTGTACCGAAGTCAACACTGCTTTTTTTTTTTTTTTTTTAATTCTTTTTTTCCCCTATGATCAGGGTTCAAAATGATCGACTTTCTCTTAACAGATTACTACTAGGTTTTCTATCTTCTCAGTCCACTAAAAATGAACACTTACAAAAAATCCTGGTTAATAGTAATCCTTGTTTACCACCACTTAGTGTGGCTGGAGAACACATCTCTGTTTGGTCCTGGGGCTTGAACTCCCGAGCACTGAACCGCTTCTGTTACTCAAAGAAAGCACTCTACGGCTTGAGCCACAGCACCACTTCTGGCTTTTTTGAGTAGTTGATTGGAGATAAGAGTCTCATGAATTTTCCTGCCTGGGCTGGCTACAAATGGCCATCCTCAGATCTCAGTCTTCTTGAGTAGCTACGATTACAGGTGTGAGCCACCGGCACCTGGCTGGGAAAAAAAAAATCTTTTAAGATGAGCCAAAATTAGAATAAAAAACTTAAAAAAAAAAAAAAAAAGGGTCAGTTGTGGGTTTTGAACTCACAGGGCTGAGGCTCAGTCCCTGAGTATTTCTCCCCAAGGCTAGCGCTCTACCATATGATCCACATTTATACTTCTGGCTTTTTGGTAGTTAATTGGAGATGAAGAGTCTGATTTTTCCCGCCTGAGCGGGCTTTGAACTTGCCATCCTCAGATCTCAGCTTCTTGAGCATTATAGGATTATAGGCATGAGCCATTTGCTCACAAATAAGAGTTTTGATTCCCCCCACCCTTTTTTTTTTTTTTGTCAGTGAGGTTTCCCAGCAGCTTCTGGCATACCTTCCTGTGCTCTCAGCTTACTTGCTTCCTCTGCTGATGTTTGACTGCGTGGCCGTGCCTTCAGCCAGGGTTTGGGCTGGTTAATGGGATATTCTGCCCAGGCTGGCTTCCAGTTGAGGTCCCCAGATCTTAGCCTTCAAGTAGTTAGGATTATAGGTAGGAGCCATTGGAGACCACAAGTTTTAATTTAATTTTTTTTTTTTTTTGGTTGGTCATGGGGCCTGAACTCTGGCCTGGGCGCTGTCCCTTAGCTCTTCAGCTCAAGGCTACTGCTCTACCACTTGAACCACAGTGCCACTTCCGGCTTTTTCTGCTTTTATGTGGTACTGAGGAATCGAATCCAGGGCCTCATGCATGCAAGGCAAGCACTCTACCACAGAGCCACCTTATTGGCCCAAGTTTTAATTTAATTTTTTTTTTTTTGGGTCCGGTCGTGGGGCCTGAACTCTGGGCCTGGGCGCTGTCCCTCAGTTCTTCAGCTCAAGGCTAGCGCTCTACCATTTGAGCCACAGCACCACTTCTGGCTTTTTTCTTTTTGCTTATGTGGTGCTGAGGACTCAAACCCAGGCCTCAGGCATGCAAGGCAAGTGCTCTGCCACTGAGCCACCTTCCCAGCCCCCTGAATTTTTTAAATAACCACTTTTTGGTGAGACTTGATAACTTTTTCCTTTTCATAGTTGAGAGCATTTTAATCTTTGATATAGTGATGGTGTCAGATCACTTTTAAAACTCTCAAAAATTACTTAAAAAATATGGCATGTATCAGGATGTTCTATAAAGACCTATTATTCTGAATCCTTCATCCCAATTTTTCTCCTGTCCTGTGCAGAGTATAAAATATTTGTTTTAAGATTCAAGGTCACAAAAACAGTATTGGAGATGAGGGAGAAAAAGTCATTCTAGCTAATCATATTCTCTGCTTGTCAGATTGTGGCTTATGTCTTTTGTAAATAACTTTTTTTTTTTTGAGAAGGAAGTAAAGATTAGTAGGGACTGAGCCGTGAAAATTTTTTTATTTTCTTTCAAGATTTTGAAAGGAAAGTAATATTCCATTACTTTGGAATACAATTATAAAACAAATTCTTTAAAAAGATTTTGTAGTTGGTAAACTGTAATACATAATAACATTTTTAAAGGAAAGAGCAAAATTCAGTGTGTTTTACCATCTTTTGTCTTTGTGCCTTTTAATTATTTTATTTGAAATTTGTTTGGTTGCTTGCTCAGTTGGCATGCTACCACTTGAGCCATACCTCTGGTCTGGATCTGTGTGTGTGTGTGTGTGTGTGTGTGTGTGTGTGTGTGTGTGTGTGTGTGTGTGTGTGTGTGTGTGTGTGTGTGTGTGTGTGTGTGTGTGTGTGTGTGTGTGTGTGTGTGGTGTGTGTGTGTTCTCTCAGGGCTTGGGTGCTATCCTTTAGCTTTTATGCACTTACTTTTTTAGCACTGTACCACTTGAGCCATAGTTTCACTTCTGGCATTTTGGTGGTTAATTGGAGATGAGTCAAGATTTTCTTTCTTGGGCTAGCTTCGAACCACATCCTTAAATCTCAGCCTCCCTGAATAGCTAATATTATAGGCGTGAGCCATCAGCACCTGGCTTAGCTTAGCTTTTTGCCTGTTAATTAGAAATGGGTCTTGACTTTTTTCCCAGGCTACCTTTGAAGGGAATCTTCCAGGTCTCATCCTCCTGAGTATAAAGGATTACAAGCTTGAGCCACTGGCACCTAGCCCACTGTGCCTTTTAAATAAATTGGTTAACAGTCTCAAGCTATTGTAGTATTTCTTTGTTTACATTTACATTGGTTTGAGAGGACATTAATTTTTTTTTTAAAAGAATGTGCAGGACTCGGAATGTGGCTTAATGGTAGAGTGCTTGCCTAGTATGCATGAAGCCCTGGGTTCGATTCCTCTGTATCACATAAACAGAAAAAAGCTGGAAGTGGGTCTGTGGCTCAAGTGGTAGAGTACTAGCCTTCAGCAAAAGAAGCCCAGGGACAGTTCCCAGGCCCTGAGTTCAAGCCCTAGGACTGGCCAAAACAAAAGAAGAAAGTGCAGATTATTGCAAAGTATAGATTTATTAGTGATAGAAATATGAATGTTTTCTTCTTTGTAGATCTGTCAAAGTTTGGTAAAAGAATTTTCATTATAAAATTATGAAACAATACATTCAGTGTCTTAAAATTTTTTCTTTTGTCAGCCCTGATCTTTTTTTTTGTTGGTTGTGGGGCCTGAACTCTGGGCCTGAGCCTGGGTGCTGTCCCTCAGCTCTTCAGGTCAAGGCTAGCGCTCTACCACTTGAGCTACAGTGCCACTTCCAGCTTTTTCTGCTTATGTGGTACTGAGAAATTGAATTCAGGGCCTCATGCATGCAAGGCAAGCACTCTTATCACTGAGCTGCCTTCCCAGCCCCCCACCCTGGTCTTGAACTCAGGGCCTGGGCTCTGTACCTGAGCCTTTCTCTGCTCATGGCTAGTGCTCTATCACTTGAGCCACGGCACCACTTTCAGCTTTTCTGAGTAGTTGGAGATGAGTGTCTCATGGACTTTCTTGCCTGGGCTGGCTTCCAACTATGAGCCTCATGTCTCAGTCTCCTGAGTAGTTATGGTTACAGGTGTGAGCTACTGGCACCTGGCTTCAGTATCTTTTTAATATAATTGGAATCTTGGTAACTTCATTAGAACAAAACACATTTTTTTTTTTTTTTTTGTCATTGGTCCTAGGGCTTGAATTTAGGGCCTAGGTGCTGTCTTTGAACTTGTTTTTCTGCTCAATGCTGGTATTCTACCACTTTGAGCCATGGTGCCACTTTTGGTTTTCTGGTGGTTAACTGGAGATGAGTCTCATGGACTTTCCGACTGGGCTGGCTTAGAACCATGGTCCTCACATCTCTGCCTCCTGAGTAGCTAGGATTACAGACATGGACCACCGACAACTGTCTAAAACACAATTTTAATAACTTAAATATTCAGTGGTTTAGTCTTTATTTGTTGTTAATAGATGGACTATTATAACCTAACCTAAAGTATTGAATTGTTTTAGTCTTTCAGGGATTGTCCAAGTGGATGAAGATACACATTGCAATAAAGGTAGTGACACTAAAAATTATTTTGGGGGTGTAAAAACTCAATGATACTGAATAATTTTAAATTTTCTTTGCATTTTATTTGATTTTAGTTGAAGATGTGGTTGGAAGTCATGTAGAAGATGCAGTGACATTTTGGGCCCAGGTAAATAATAGCTTGATTGGCTTCTCCCTCCTTCCTTTTCCTTCCCAAACTGAAGTCTTCTTCAACAAAACAAAAACAAAAAAACCTAGGAAAATATGTATCATTTTTAACACCTGATTTTCGATTATGCTTTATAAAATATAATTAAAGATTTATGTTTAATTTGGCTACAATTGAAAACTACCTAGTAGCTTATAATACATCTGAGTTAAAAAAGAAAATAAGCAAAATTGACTTTACAATGAGCTTTTGAACTTATAGCTCCATCTAGGGGTCTTTTATAGGATTGTTTCTTAAAAATGTTAATCTCATTTTTTTCTACTCAGTAAACCCTTTAGTTTTTTTTTAATCTTTTTTTTTTTTCTACTCAGTAAAACCCTTTAGTTTTTAAAAATTGTTTTCTGACTCTGCTTTTGCCTTGAGTATGTTCACAATGATTTTCTATTCTGCTTGTAAGGAAGCCACTTTCATCTTCTCAGGGACATGTTTAGTATACATAGACTATCTTAAGGGTTTTAGGTTTTTCAGCAGGAACCATTTGAAGTCTGCCTACGCACAGGCTACATGGAAAATTTTGGTGTTTGTCCAGCCCTCTTGATATAAGGGTAAACAATTCAATTTTATTCGCATGTGGTTGGGAAATTTCTTCTAAAGTTTCGTTAGAACTATACTGGAGGAAAGCCCATGATGGCATGTCAACACTGGACCATTCTGAGTGTTCTTGTACTAGAGTTCACAGAACTGTCTTGAAAACTTCAGCTACTCAAATGTGGCCAGTTGTGAAGAGATTAAAGACAGAGGAAAAAACTACAAAATCTGTAGATACTGTCCCAGGAAGAGCAAAAAGGAAATTCAGACTCTTTTTTTTTAATATTTAATTTGAGGTACAGTATTTTTCTTACTGCAAAATTTAAAGCACTAATAAAACAATATTCTTTGGTAGGCTGAAATTCAGATAAGTGCACTCAATTTTAAATACAAAGTTAAGCACCAAAAGTGCTGACTAACTTCTTATATAATGATTAACAAAATGGTCAAAGCTAGGAAATTAAGCTTTGTATAATACTATTAACTAAATTATAGTCTTTATTCAAATCTTACTAGGTTTTTTTTCCTGTTCTCATCTCTAAGATTCTAAGCTATACTTAGTTGTGTATCTTAGTTAATACTTTATTAAATTTTCCTTGTATTTTATGACTTTAGGCACTTTTGATGATTATTAGTAATTTTATAAAGTATTCCTTCATTTGAGTTTGATGATTTCTCATAAACTTACTAGTAAGAATACACAGAAGTAATGTTTGTCTTGAGTGCATCATATTGGGGATTTATGATGTCACTATATTTTTGTCATTGAGTACTGTAGCCATGATCTACTTGGTTAAAATGATAGCTTCTGTTTTTTTTGTTTTCTAACTGTGATTAAATATTTTTGTTTTGTCACTAGCAATTTTTTGTCACTAAGTAATAGATTTTTTTTTTTTTTTTGGGTCTGGTCATGGGCCCTGAACTCTGGGCCTGGGCACTGTCCCTCAGCTCTTCAGCTCAAGGCTAGCGCTGTACCACTTGAGCCATAGCACCACTTCCAGCTTTTTTCTTTTTGCTTATGTGGTGCTGAAGAATCGAACCCAGGGCCTCGAGTATGCAAGGCAAGCGCTCTACCATTGAGCCACCTTCCCAGCCCCAGTAATAGATGTTTTGAGGACAGCTACCATAAGGACTGTATAATCTTGTTTATGTTGAACTGTTAACCTACAAATTTTAGTATTTATTGCTATAGCACTTGACCGATAATTTTCAGTTCTTATTTCTGCTGCATTTACTGTTTTTCTGTAAGGAAGAGTTGCCTCTGTTTTGCCACTTGTATATTTGATCATCTATATTAATATAGATTCAGATGCTTACTCCATGAGTTATAATCTAATGCTACCATTATTTTTGTTTAAATTATTCAGCTCTGGCTATTAAGACAAAAATTGGCCAAAGAACACAGATTGGCTACTTGTCATTTAAATATGTCTTTTTTTGAGCACTGTGCTTTCTGCTTTGATAAATTTTTAGCACAGAAATTTCCAAGGAACCTGCTTAATATGATTTAATAATGTTGTTATCTTGGTTGAATTCCAAGTATTTGAACTCATTGGGAAGTAAACTTTTTATAGTCTTATTTGATTTCTTACAAGAACTCATTTAAATTATGAAAAATACTGATAGAGTTAAATTTCTAATGTTCCAAAATTTTTAATACTCTAGTGAAATTCTTAATTATATAACATTATAAAATGGTATTTTGCTGAATCTTATGCTTTTTCTTTTTCTTTATTCCTAGAATATCAATAGAAATAAGGATATTATAAAGATTGGTTCTTTACTGTCAGAAGTTTGTCCTCATGCCAATTCAGTTTTTGGGAATCTTGATTCAAAGAAGGTGAGCCATATTCTTTGACAAAGTCATTTCAACCCACTTGCTAGTTTTCCTACATCTTGATTTTTATAGTTTTTGGAATTTGAATCCTATTTGAAAGGAAGAAACAGATACTTCATTTTTTTTTTTTTTTTGGGTGCCAGTCCTGGTGCTTGAACTCAGGATCTGGGTTCTCTCCCTGAGCTTTTTTTTTTGTCAGAGCTCACCCTCCTGAATACTTAGGATTACAGGTGTGAGCTATTGAAACCTGGATATACTTAGAATTTGTATTAGCAACACCACAGTGAATATATTAATTTAAAAGTATAGATGGATAGCTTAAGATGTGGCTCAAGTTGTAGAGTGCCTAACAAACACAAAGTCCTGAGTTCAGTACCGAAAAAAAAAGAATATCCTGATATTATTTGCCTTAAAAAGGAAAGAAATTCTGACATAAATTACAACATTGAGGAATCATACAGAATTGTATGATTCCACTTACATGAGTATCATACTCACTAATTAATTCTACTTACAGAGTAGTTAAAATCAGAGACAAAATAATTACCTGGGAGTGGAGGGAGAAAGTTGTAATGGAAAGGAGCTGTTTAATGAAGGCAGAATTTCAGTTGTACAGATTAAAAGTGAGGGAGGTAGGTGGTGGTTATAGATACAATATATTACAAAATAGCCCTGAACAATATATTTAAAGGTGAACATATTTCATCTAACCACCTCACAAAACCTGTGGAAGATTTGCTAGGTACCAGATACTGTATTAGGTATTAAATGACACGAAATGATGAATAAATGGTTAGAATCCTTGTAGTTGAAATTCACAGGAAATCTGTAAGAAACCTGTGGAGAACAGTCTATTTTTCTCTTTTCTTCTTTTTGTCAGTATATAACTCTTGGTGAAACGTTCATCTACTAAGATACTAAGTATATAGTTTGGTTGATTAAATTTTACATAGGTATGTATCCACATAACTAACCCCTCACATCAGTAGGGGCAATTATCTTAGAAATTTTGCCCAGGACACTTTTGCAGACAATTCTTAGCCAGATGTCTTCATAACAGTGGTAGTCATTCTGGCTTTGTCATAAATTTATTTGCCAGTTAAAAAAATTTTTTTTGGTCGGTCATGGGGCTTGAACTCTGGGCTTGGGCACTGTCCCTGCGCTCTTCAGCTCAAGGTGAGCGCTCTACCGCTTGAGCCACAGCACCACTTCCGGTTTTCTAGTGGCTTATTGGAGATAAGAGTCTCATGGACTTTTCTTGCCCGGGCTGGCTTTGAACCGTGATCCTCAGATCTTAGCCTGCTGAGTAGCTAGGATTACAGGAGTGAGCCACCAGTGCCTGGCTGCCAGTTTAAAATTTTTGTAATATGCACTTCATGGTATAAGACTAGTTTCGTTTGCCCAATATAATTTCTGAGTTTCATTTATATTGTTGTGTATTGGTCATTTTTCCCAAGCTATGCAGTGTTTCAGTGTACAAATACACACAATTTAGTTTTTTTTTTTTTTTTGGGTCCAGTCGTGGGGCCTGAACTCTGGGCTTGGGTGCTGTCCCTCAACTCTTCAGCTCAAGCTCTACCACTTGAACCACAGCACCACTTCCGGCTTTTTTCTTTTTGCTTATGTGGTGCTGAGGAATCAAACCCAGGGCCTCAGGCATGCAAGGCAAGCGCTCTACCACTGAGCCACCTTCCCAGCCCCTACACAATTTAGTTTTTTGTTCTCCTTGATCAGTTAGATTATTTGCTATGTATGACGAAGATTAAGACTAAAAAATGGTTTGAAATCCTTAAATCTACTGGACATGTTGACTCATTTGTTTTGCTTATATCTGTAAAAATAGAATGATAAAGTCATTGGCTAAGCATGTTTTAGTTACTTCTGTTTTGTAAGTGTTGAACCAGTTTATATCCTTACCATACATTGCATCTCATAGCAATATATAAGAATTCCAGTTCCCTCATGTCCTGACATGAGTATGGAGGTTAAGTATGTTTTAATATTCTTATTAGACATATCCTCTTTATGACCTACCTTTTCAATACTTAGTTTAAGGTATTTTATATATAGCAGCTCAGACAGACTAATCCTCCACACCGGAAAAGTAGTCCAGGCTCAGTGCTAGTGAGAGTCTGGTGCCAGCTTGTACTTCCATATAGCTCCAGATAGCAGAAGGGGCACATAAGCTGCTGGATCCCCTTTTATTTGGGGACTCATATAAGGATACTAATCTTCATTTATAAAGGTTTTACTTGGAGGTAACTATAAAAAAACTTTTGATCCAAGCCTCTAGTCCTTTTTACTTTTATTTTTTCATATAGGGATTTATGTTTTTTGCCTGGTCTGGCCTGGGCATAGATCCTTCTACTTAGGCCTCCTGGGTAGCTGGGGTGACAGGTGTGAATTGCCACCTTCAGCTTTCTTTGTTGACTTGAGATTTACTAACTTTTTTGCCTGAGCTGGCCTAGATGTGCAGTCTTTCAAATTTCCATCTACTGAGTAGCTTGGGTTGCAGTGAGCCACTGCACTGACCTGTACTGGTTTTTGTACCTTATGTTTTTTTTTTAAAGAGGCAGAGGGGCATAATAGATTTTGAAGTTAGAAGTTTGAATTTTGGTGTGGTTGTATATTAGTTTATAACTTTTAAGTATGTAGGTGTGTATTGGTGAAAACCAAGTACAAAGTTACCTGCCTTTTTAGCTGTTATAATTAAGTAAGTTATTATATGGAAAGCATTCATTTATACATATTAAGTGCTTAATATGTATTGATTTTTGTTGTGATCTCTTTAGTATGTTTTTTCATTCTGAAGTTAAATAATTTTTTCTTTTCCTCATAGATTTATGGAGGATTATTTTCTGAAGATAAGTGTTGGTACAGATGCAAAGTACTGAAAGTCATCAACGATGAAAAGGCAGGAAATATATGTCATTTATTTTCTCAAAGTAGTAATAGGGCTGGTTTAATGAATGTATAAGTTGATTAATACATTTTTAAAATTCATAACATGAAAAGTCAATTGCTTGAAAACAGATTCAGGAATATTCTAAGTTTAAGTTGTTATATAATCACAGATCATCTAACAATAGATGACATAATTTGTGGATTATTTTTGGATGCCTAGTTCTTTGTTCCTCAGTTCTTACTCATTATGTTTGGTTTTCTGTAATGAGAAACTTTAAAGTTTCATTTTATTAAGATTGATGAATAGGCTAAGTACATTTTATCCGAACATAATGTACCCTTTACCTTAGTCATGGATATTGTCAATCATAAAAGACTCATTTGTGCTGGGCACTGGTGGCTCATGCCCATAATCCTAGCTACTCAGGAGATTGAGATCTGATGATTGCTGTTCAGAGCCAGCCTAGGCAGAAAAGTCCCTGTGAGACTCTTACCTCCAGTTAACCACTCAAAAACTGGAAGTGGAGCTGTGGCTTAGAGTGGTAGAGAGCTAGCCTTGAGCAAAAGAGCTTAGGGCCAGGCCCTGAGTTCAAACCCTAAACCTACAAAAAAAAAAAAAGAGATTGATTTTCAGCTTTTGTTAATGTCTCAAATGTGATAAATTTTGTGTGTGTGTGTGTGTGTGTGTGTGTGTGTGTGTGTGTTTTCCTCTTGGTACTGGGGTTTGAATGCAGAACATTTCACTTGCTCTGCTTCGCTGGTATTCTATACTTGAGCTAAGCCTTCAGCAGGTTATTTTGGAGATGGAGTTTCCCAGACTTTTCTTTCCTAGCTGGCTTTGAACCTTGATCCTCTGGATCTCAGCCTCCTAAGTAGGTGTGAACCATGGTGCCTGGCTGTATTTTATTTTTTTACATTGAGAGCTTGTGGAAGATTTTAAGGGGATTTTGGGGGAATGAGATTCTGAGTAGCTGTCTGGTGGCAATTGAACATTGTAAGTTGTGTGAAAACATCTCTGTAGATTTTCCTCTAGTAGTTTTTCTGTTATCTGCTTTCTGGACTTATAAATTTTATAATGTATGTGTTTTATGAATATATTTTCTTGATGTAATAAAGTGATAAGATGAAACACTTTAATGTTCTAATTAGTTTTAAACAATCTTGTTATTTAGTATTATCACACATAATGGTTTATTTTGATTTCATCCACCTACTACCACTTTTTCCTATAATTTGACAATGGGAGAATATATTTCGCATTTGATTTTGGATTGGCTTTAAGTTTTTAAATTAGGGATTAGATGATATTTGGCTTAATAGTAAACTTTTCTTAAAAATTTTAAAACAGATGAGTTGGGGTAAAGGTGAATTTGGTAAGTTCAAAGTCTATCTAGCAAGATGGTTTTAATTTTATTAGAGGAAGTTATCAAATTTCATTTGTGGATCTTATTTTTATTTATTTTTTATTTTCCTGACATGATTATCTTACTTTATATTTTATTGTTATTGTAAAGTTGAGGTACAGAGGGTTACAGTTACATAAGGCAGGTAATGGGTACTTTTCTTTTTGAACAATGTCACTCCTTCCCTTGCTCTTTCCCCATTTTTCCCTCCTGTCCTCACCCACAAGTTGTAAGATTTTATTGTTTCTAACCTGAACTTCAAAATGTTGATTGATTTTTATACTAGGAGAAATAACAGAGTCAAAAGTGTAATAGACTTTTGTTTGTGCTTTTCTTGTAGATGTTTAATCTGGGCTCAGTATTTGTCTCCTTTTTTCTAGTGTCTGGTGAGGTACATTGACTATGGAAATACTGAAATTCTGAACCGATCTGATATTGTAGAAATTTCTTCAGAACTACAGTTTTCTAGTGTTGCCAAAAAGTATAGACTGTGGGGACTACAGATTCCTTCTGGCCAAGAAGTTACCCAGTTTGATCAGGTAAGTCACATATTTTTGACACTTTTGTTAATGAAAGTAAATCTATATGCCTAAAAATTTTAAATTTCATTAAATATGTTTAATATAAAAGCTAATCTAGGGTTGGGACTTCAGATCAGTAGAGGAGGCCCACTGTTTGGACATTAGTTCTGGAAAAAGAAAGCACATCTAAATTAGTGAAAAATAATGATATATAAAATCAGAGCTCAATGGTAGGATACTTGCATAATGTGCTCAAGGTCCTGGATTGAACCTCATACTTCAACAAACAAACTAGAATACTTCAAAAGTAATTATGTATTTGTGCTTATCTTTGGTAGGTAATCATTCTTGATAATCAGAGAAGAGTAATTATAGCTGGATACTAGTGGCTCATGCTTATAATCCTTGCTACTCAAGAGGTTGAGATCTGAGGATCACAGTTTGAAGCAGGAAAGTTCCTGAGACTCTTACTTTCAATTAAGTACCAAAAAAGCTGCACATGGAGTTGTGGCTTTTTGGTACTTAATTTTAATTTTAGACTATGGATATATGTGATTCATGGAGATTTTACTAATTGTGATGGATGTCTGTAAGGAAAAGGAATATGACTTCAGAGGAAACATCTAATAGTCATATTTCCATATGAATTCTAGAACACTCAGTTTTAGGTTATTGGAACTTAACAGAAAGTAGACTATTTTCATCCCACTTTTTATACTCACCAAATAAACAGGTTTTAATATATTAAGATTCCATGTAGTAAGGGGCATGACTCAACCTCAATTAGCAGGAGTGCTTGCCTACATAATTTGAGACAGCTTGAGTACCCCTAGTATCAGAAGAAAAAATAAATCCACATATTCCAGCAATAATCTTTAAAAATTTCCTAGGAACAGAAGTTGTCCTTCAGTTTTGGATAGTCATTTGAGAAAATGTTTTGAAACTAAGGGTTTTTTGTAGATAAGCTCCATTATCTGTGCTTAATTAAATTCTTAATATATTTCAGAAAATTACATTTGAGTTTGTTGGCTTGCCTTATTTTCTTTGGTTATGGCCTTTGGACCAAATTTGCTGCGTATATTGGTATTCTTAGTCAGTGTAAACCTTTTGATATAGTATATGCATTTCTGATTTTTTTTGAGGCAGGGTCTTACAATGTAGTCTAGGCTGTCTTTGAACTTGTGATCATCTTGTATAAATCTCCAGTGTGCTGGGAATACAAGCATGTGCCACTAATTCTTGATTGTGTTTCTAAATTGTTTTTGTTTGTACCTAGAGCTTGAATTCAGAGCTTGGGCACTGTCTCTTAAGTTTTTTTTCTCAAGGCTGGCACTTTACCACAGCTCTACTTCTGGCTTTTTGCTGGTTAATTGGAGATAAGAGTCTCAGACTTTTCTGTATTGGCTGGCTTTGAACCATGATCATAGCCTTGTGAGTAGCTAGGATTACAGATATTAGCCACTACAGCACTCGGCTAATACATTTCTAAATTTTATGCTTTGAAAATTTTACCACATCTATATTTTTGTTAACTTAGATATTTAGTTGTTTTGTGGGTTAGAACACCCTCATTCTTATTTAATATAGTGATGATTGGTTGGTGATTCTTGAGTATGTACAGTTTGGAGTCTCTCTGCCTCTCTGGTTGTATTTTTTCAGGCCCAAGGGCTCTTTGGGTGTTGTTATAACTGAGATCATTTCTTTGTATAATGCTATGTATTTACTACATTGAAAAACATTCCAAGAGAGTACAGATCTTTCACCAAATTGATGAGAGCTTATGTCACAAAAATAGTTAAGGACTCCTACATAGGTCTAATTCCTACTGTCTATACTATTATACATTTAAAAAAGTAAATATATTTAGTCTTTACTATTACTTGACTTTACTGAAACTTGAACTCAGGGCTTTGTACTCTTACTCATCTTTATTTGCTCTCTACTACTTGAGCTCTGCTTCCATTCTAGCACCAATATTATTTACTTTCTTGGATCTTGGAATGCTTTTCTATTTCTTTCTTTTTTATTTGGTCCGGTCGTGGGGCCTGAACTCTGGGCCTGGGCGCTGTCTCTCAGCTCTTCAGCTCAAGGCTAGTGCTCTACCACTTCAGCCACAGCACCACTTCCAGCTTTTTTCTTTTTGCTTATGTGGTGCTGAGGAATCGAACCCAGGGCCTCAGGCATGCAAGGCAAGCGCTCTACCACTGAGCCACCTTCCCAGCCCTTTATTTATTTCTTGTGCTAGTGTTAAGGCTTAAACTTAGGGCCTGGGCCCAGACCGTGAGCTTTTGTGACTAAGGCGAGTACTCCATCACTTGAGCCATTTGGATTTTTGCTGGTTAATTGGAGAGAAGAGTTTGACAGACATGCATGAATGGTATGACTCTGAACTACGATCCTCAGCAGCCTCATGAGTAGCTAGGATTACAAGTGTAAGCCACTGGTGCCAGTTCATATTTATTTATTTTTAAATAAGTTATTTTCTTCAAGTGGTTGGACAATGTATTCATGTTCATTTTATTTTTGTGTTTTGAGTTTCTTATTCATTGCTTCCACTCTTGTCTTCACTAAAATGTGTACCTACCTGTATTGTTAAAACCAACTTAAAGTTTTGTTGAAACCTTTCATCCTAGAAATTCATTTTTATTAACTATAAGTCCTCAGATCATCATTTTATTTAATTGATACAATCTCCAAGGTTATCAAAATTATTTTAGGATGTGAGGAGGAAATTGTAGAATGGCTGGCCTTGGCCATAAAAAAACTTGTAAGACCTTTATCTCCTCTACCTCAACCAATAGCTTGGTATGATTGTGTGCCCTTATTAGCTGAAACTATTGAGGAGACATGATGGAGAGGTACAGTGTGTATACCTGTCATCCTTGTGGCATAGGGAAACAAATAGGATCACAGTCCTGGTCAGCCTACGTATAAATGAAGAACCTACTTTAAAAATAAACATTGTGAAAGGGGTTGGAGGAGTGGCTCAATCAAGGTAGAGCACCTATCTCGCAAATACAAAGTCCTAAATTCAGATTTCAGTACTGTTAGAAAAATTATTGTAGGATATTAATTAATATACATTAAAATACATGAATATGGCAACGCATTCAGGTGTTAGCTAGAAAGAAAGATTTTAGCAATGTGCAATTGAAATACATTCATACATATGCAAAAGTATATTTACATATAGCCAACAAAATAAGATCATTTGTATAGAGATTTTAGAATGAAGAAATACAATGCTTTTTAAAAATGCGTAGAAACAAAATAAATAAGAAATGTTGACATTGCTGGTTTATATCTTCTTTACTCTTTCAGGGCAGAACCTTTTTGGGGAGTTTGATTTTTGAAAAGCAAATAAAAATGAAAATTAAAGCAACCTATCAAGATGGAACAGTCATTGCTCAGGCTGAATATGGTGGTGTAGATATTGGAGAAGAAGTGGCTAAAAAAGGATTTGCAGAAAAATGCAAACTTACTTCCAGCTCTCAAGTCTGTGAAGAAAAGAAATCGGACCCTAGTCATCTTACCCTCAGGAATCTCAAGAATACAATTCCCTTGTGGGGGCACCGATCCAACCAATCAAACTTCAGCAGGCCAAAAGGGCGTTTAAATGGGAGGCTTCCTCTTGACTTGCAGGATGAGAGTAGGTCAAGAAGTCAAGTGACATTTCCAAAGTAAGTATGCTGGGGTTTTTAGTTTTATTTAATTTCAAATTTATCTTAAGTACCCTTGTAGAAATTCTTAAGGTTTTTTTCTTCGAGTGCTCATTTCTATTTTTAGCAGGAATATTTTCATTAAATCTATCATATATTTTTCAAAAAGTGAATTTGTTTTTAACAGGGAAAGTTTGGCTGTTGGTAACTTTAATTTAGGATCTAATGTTAGTCTGGAAAAAATTAAGCAAGACCAGAAACTGATGGAAGAGAATGAAAAACTTAAAAATGAGAAAGAAGTTCTACTTGAAAGTTACAAGGCATTAGAATTGAAAATAGAACAGACTTCCCAGGAGCTACAGGTATGTTTAATAGCTTAAGGTAAAATGTTCAGCTGGGAAATTGGTGAACTCATCTGCTCTCCTCTTCCCTCCCCTTTTCTCTCCAGTATTTTGTTCTTATACTTGAGCTATGGATTTCACTGGTTATTTGAAGTTTAATAATTTTTCATTTAATTTCTTAAATTATTTTGTAAAGCTTTTATTATGGAACTTTTTAGATATTCTAGAAAGAAAAACATTGAATAATTATTATGCTTAACACCAGTTTTGGCAATGTTGCTTAACACAAAACAGTTTTGACAGTCTTGGGTTGGCCAGCCTTTTTAAAAATATCTATGGATCCTATTCATATTACTTCATATTCTTTAGTGTGTATCTATTGCTAATAGAAAAGAAATTTAAAGAAATAGTAACTAGGAATTGGCATTGGAGATCAGTTGTTGAGTGCAGGCTTACCATGTGTAAGGCCCTGGGCTTTATTTCAAGCTCCAGTTACAAGTTTCCAAATAACAAAACCCATAAGCCAGCACTATTTACACAAAACCAGAAATTCCATAATATTAATTAATATTATAATAATAGTTTTCAGGTTTCTTATATAGCCTCAGCCCCATGAAAGCCTTTTATTCATTTATTTTTTTGGTGCTAACCATGGGGCTTGAACTCAAGGGCCTGGGTGCTTCCCTGAGCTTTTTTGCTCAAACTAGTACTCTGGCACTTGAGCCATAGCTCCACTTCTGACTTTTTAGTGATTAAGTGAACATAAGAGTCTCATTGTCCATCTTCTCATGCTGGCTTCAAACTGTGATCCTCAGATCTCAGCCTCCCCAGTAGCTAGGATTGTAAGTGTGAGCCACTGACACTTGGCTTGGTTGATGTTTTTAATTGTATAGTTTGTAACTTGTTTTTTTAAAATCATCATGTATATCCTTTTATGGTTGGTAAGTCTCCGTGTTTGCTTAGGTTCAAGTTCAATTGTTTTTCCCCCTAAACAGGGTATAGACTAATAAAAAATACTGTATGGTTTACAAAAGTGTATTTTTTGACACAAAATACGTTTTCAAACTTTATTTCTCTAATTCTCTTGACACCGGCTGGGATATCCCAACAATTTAATTCTGTTTGGATGTTAATTTGTCAGTCTTGGGGCTTGAACTCAGAGCCTGGGTACTGTCCCTGAGCCTTTTCATTCAAGGGTTCCAATTAGAGCCACAGTGCTACTTCTGGTTTTCTGGTGGTTAATTGGAGATAAGAATCTCACACACTTTCCTGCCTGGGCTGGCTTTGCTTCAGAGCTCAGCCTGAGGATTATAGGTGTGAACCTTTACAAATTTTTTAAGTATACCTAAAATCCTTTAAATAATAATAGGAATATACATTCCCATTTGGTATTTATTTGAATGTTTGTTCTTTTATTTCAGCAAGAGAAAGCAACTACTATGGATTTGACTAAACATTTAGAAAGTACTCGGAAGACTCGTGTGGGTACCAGAATGAAAAATCTGGCAGCTAAAGTGGAAATATTGAAAGAAATTAGGTACATTATAATATATATGTAGTGTGTGTGTCACAGTATTCTGCCACTCCATATTCATAGGAAATCTTTCCATTTCTGTTGTCTTCTTCAAGGTTTTGTAAATTTCATCATTGAAGTCCTTTAACTTCTTGGTTAGGATTATGTCTAATTATTGTTATTTTATGCAGCTGTTGTCAGTGGAGTTATTCTTTTAATTTCCTTCTTCTTTTTGTTAGTGTACAGAAAAACTACTGATTTTTGTGTGTTGATTTTTGTATCCTGCAATGTTACTGAAGGTCTTTGTTAGCTCTAGGAGTTTGTTTTGGTATGGAATTTTAAGTGTCCTACAGGTAAAGGATCATATCATCTGCAAATAGGGATAGTTTGACTTCTTTCCCTGTTTGTAACCCTTTAATTTCTTTCTTTCATCTTAATGCTGTGTATAGAAATTTTATTACTCTATCTATATATTTTATACACACACACACACATATATATACACATATATTTTAGAATGAGTGCAATAATGGATTCATAGAATGAGTTCATAGAATGGCTTCATAGAATGATCCAGGCATTTGTTTATATTTATTTATTTATTTTTGTCAGTCGTGGGGCTTGAACTCTGGGCCTGGGCGCTGTCCCTCAACTCTTCAGCTCAAGGCCATTGCTCTACCACTTGAGCCACAGTGCCACTTCCGGCTTTTTCTGCTTATGTGGTGCTGAGGAATCGAACCCAGGGCCTCATGCACTCAAGGCAAGCACTCTACCACTGAGCCACCTTCCCAGCCCCTATATTTATTTTCTTGATGATAGCCATTCTAACTGGAGTGAAGTAGAATCTCAATGTAGTTTTGGTTTGTATTTCCCTGAAGGCTCAGGATGTTGAACATATTTTCATATATTTTCTGGCCATTGTACATATGTGTTTATTAATTGTTTGTTTAGTTCACTGGCCAATTTGTTGATTAAATTGTTTACTGTTTAATTTTTGTTCTTTATATATTCTGGATATTAATCCCCTTGTCAGATGAATATCTTGCAAACATTGTCTCCTGTTCTGTAGGCCATCTTTTCACTCTCTTTATTATATTGCTATGTAGAACCTTATATATTTTTTGGCAGTAGTGGGGTTTGGTCTCAGGACCTTGGACTTGATAGACAAGCAATCAGAATTCGTTACAATTTTTGCTCTTATTTTCTGAGTAGTGGAGTCTTATTTAGAAAGACCTTAAAGTATTTCTTTTGTATTTTCCTCTAAGTGGTTTCAAAGTTTCTGGTCTTAAAGTAAGATCTTTGATTCATTTTGAGTTGATGTTTGTATAGAGTGAGAGATTGGGATATAGTTTTAGTTTTCCACATGCGGACATTCAGTTCTAACACTTGTTAAAGAGACTGTCTGGTTGCTTTTGGTCTCTATTTGGTTGAAATATCTTTTTGCATCTTTTCACTTTAAAGCTGTGTTACCAGTAAGGTACATTTCTTTTAGTCAGTAAAAAGCTGGGCTTTGTCTTTTTTTTTGGGGGGGGGGGTCCAGTTGTGGGGCCTGAACTCTGGGCCTGGGTGCTGTCCCTCAGCTCTTCAGCTCAAGGCTAGCTCTCTACCACTTGAGCCACAGCGCCACTTCTGGCTTTTTTCTTTTTGCTTATGTGGTGCTGAGGAATCGAACCCAGGGCCTCAGGCATGTAAGGCAAGCGCTCTACCACTGAGCCACCTTCCCAGCCCTGGGCTTTGTCTTTAGTCCAAATTGCCAGTCTGTGTCTTTCCACTGGAGAATTGAGATCATTAACATTTGAAGTTATTACTGAAATATTTTATTCTTTTCCTAATTACAATTTGCTTATCTACTTTTAAGTGAGATTTATTCTTTTCTATACTCTTATGATTATATTTAGCTTCTTCTATTTTTAGTATTCCTTTAATTTAAGTATCTTCTGCAGTGCTGTTTAATGGTTATGAATTTCTTTCATTTTTGCTTATAATGGAAAATGTTTATTTCTCCAAGTATGAAGGATAGCTTTACTGGATACAGTAATCAAACTTGACACTTTTTTTAAAAGCTTGAGTTACATTTGCCCATACTTTCCTGAATTTTAGAGTTTCTATTGATGAATCTACTGGTTTTCTGATTGAGTTGCCTTAATATATGACTTATATTAGTTCCTTGGAATTTTCAATATTCTTTGCTTGTTTCTTATACTTACTATTTTAATCACAATATGATAAGTAAAAGTTCCTGGTCTTGTTTGCTGTTCTAAAAGCTGGCTATACCCGTAAATGCCCTAAGATTAAAAAAAAAATTCCATGACTAACATGTTTTCTGTGCCTTTAGCATGTGACTTTTTCCTTCTTTCTTCTTTATTTTAACTTCTTTTATTGTAAAGATATTGTAGAGAGGGGTTACAGTTACATGAGCAAGGTAATGAGTACATTACCTGTTGAACATTGTTGCCCCCTCCTTTGTTTACCCCTTACCATCCCTTCCCTCCCACCTCCACAATTACCCCCCTCAAGTACCTCTTTTTCTATGCTAATATTTTGTAAGTTTGATCTTTCAATAGTTCCCAAAGATCTTGTCTTTTTTTTCTTTTCTTTTTTTTTTTGTCGTGGGGCTTGAACTCTGGACCTGGGTGCTGTACTTGAGCTCTTCAGCAAAAGGCTAGTGTTCTACCACTAGAGCCACAGAGCCACTTCCAGTTTTCTGGTGGTTAATTGAAAATAAGAGTCTCATGGACTTTCCTGTCAGGGCTGGCTTTGAACCCCAATCCTCAGATCTCAGCCTCCTGAGTAGCTAGGATTACAGGCGTGAGCCACTGGTGCCCAGCTGATCTTGTCTGTTTTGTTTATACTTTTGTTATTGTCTGAATATTCTAATTTTTCTTTCTGTCTTCCTTCAGCAATGAGTCCCGTTTCCTACTTGATCCATATTGTTGAGAGCTTTCTTTCAGCTACAATTTCTGATTTTATGAACATTTTATTTCCAGAGTCCTATTTTTTTCCAGCACTCTTTATCTTCATGGAATTTCTCTTGCATATCCTCCATTATTTTCTTTGTCATTCAGATGATTATTTGTATTTTCTTTGAATTCATCGAGGTGTTTGTTGCTGTACTGTTTAATTTATTCAATGATTCTTATTATAGTTTTTAATAAGATATAATTGTGCAGTTATATAATTATACAAGTGGATATAATTATATGCATTACATAATATAATGTCCAATATTATGTTATATAGTATGTAATATATAAATATATGACTAATATATAATAGGTATTATATACTATGTATTATACTATATAATACATACTATATAGTATATACTATGTATACTATATATAGTATAGTATATAGTAGTATAATATGTAGTATATATACAGTTGTTGATCAGAACCATGGAATCTTTCTCAGTGTTCATGCAGACCTGGGTGGTGGCAGGGTTGGTATGCTCTTGCTTACCACTGGTCTGGGAGTGTAGTTCAATAGTCAGACATTCCACCTGTGTGTTTTAGAGTACCAGACACCATCAATCGTCACTAAATGGAATCTCTTGTAGTTCTGTATAAATTGAGGCTGAGAATGGGATCAGGTCCACTTCAGTTGTCCATTTCAGGATGACATTTATTTTAGAAGCTTCCCTCTTTTATTCTGGCCACAGGGAGTTCTGTAGCCTGCTGGTTGGGCAGGTTCCCATTTGCTCATGGTCCTCCCAAGTCTGTATCCTTTGGGCAGTAAGCACCCAAACTTTGGGTGTCTCCCCTGAATGTGATCAAGCATGGAAGAAGCAAGCAAATAGTATTGAGTTTTGTACTTGAGGGGGATGAATTCAGAGAACCCAGCACTTTAGCTTCTAGTTTCAGTGCCATTCAGGCCCTTCCCAACAGTTGAAAATCCCATGAAAGGAGGTGGCCAGGAAAATTGAGTAATCTGTGCAACCTGGGTGCCCTGCCTGGCAGCAAACTACATGCAACAGTGAGACAGCAGTGAAAGCCAAGAAATCCCCTAGCCATCAGCATGGAGTCCTGTTTGTGTCGTAATCCTCAGATGATGTGACTTATCCACCATAGGAGGTGGAGCCACCGACCTTCACATGCTTCATTGCTTCAGCTTCCTGCTGCTCAGTCTTCAAAATACATCCATGACTCTGCTTTCTCTATGGCCACCTCACATAGAAGTCTCCTACCTACACACTATGACAAGGCATCCCAGGCTCCCTGAGCTGCAGTTATTTGTTGTTCTCAGATTTCTAGAGTATTTTAATCTCAAACAATAGATACCTCTTTCAAGATGGTGCCTGCCTTTAGCTCTGTGAGGAATGGGGTATGAGAATGGATTTCTAGTGGCAGGCTTCTATATAAGGATTCACTATCATAACAAGTGCCCTCCTGTATTTAAGGCTTTCAAGAGATTGAGCTTATTGGGCATCTAGCTCTATCAGTCTGTTGTTACTAAGTTTGCCTGGCTTACCTTGTGGTTGTGGTTTCAGTTTCTCCTTTTCTTCTATAAATTAGGGTTGGAACTGTGACCAGTTACTTTTCTCTGCATTATCTTTCTGCGTTCCCATGCTTTTCAGCTGTCTCTTACCATTATTCCTCATGCTCTTACTCTTTTGGGAAAAAAATCTCTCTTAAATAAAGTCAAACAGAGGGAGAGATTCTAATCTACCATCTTGTCCTTGATTTCATATGAAGCTTAAAAAGTACTTCTTCATAGCCACTGCTGTAAATGGTGTCTTTTAGATCATTAGTATATAACTGAGTTTTTCTCATACAATTTTTCTCATATTTTTTGTCTCTTTTTGCTGTTTTCCTTAAATAGACGTGTGAACATCAGTTTTGGAAATGACCTTTCAGATGCTATTCAAGTATTGAATGAAGGGTACATTACTACTCCAACTTCTTTAACTGAATTAGAAAAAGTTTGGGCAGAATACAATCTGGCTCAGAAGAATATTCAAAGTTGTTATAATGAGGTGGGTCAAGAAATTTTCTGCATTATGGTTTTTATCTACTAAACATGAAGAAATAATTACATTTATTTTTTCTTTTGTGTCCTGGGGCTTGAACCAGCCTGGGCACTGTACTAAGCTTTTTTGCTCAAGGCTAGTACTCTACCACTTTGGCTGCACCTCCACTTCTGGCTTCTTCAGTGGTTAATTAATTGGTTATAAGACTCTTATGGACTTTCTTTCCCTATCTGGCTTCAGACTATAATCCTCAGATATTATTAGCCTGCTGAGTAGGGTTATGAGTGTGAGCCACTGGTACCTGGCAGTAGTTACTTTTTGAGAGATCAGAGGGACTGCAGATACTGTGATGCTATTTTATTTAAATAAAATGAATGCTTTATTTTTACTTGTAGACACTATTTGCATAGTCAAATTGTTTATATATTAAAAATGTAGTACCTTATAAGAAATTAGGTGGTGATTGTGGTTATAAGTGGTTAACAAAAAGTAGTTATAAGCCGGGCGCTGGTGGCTCACGCCCGTAATCCTAGCTACTCAGGAGGCTGAGATCTGAGGATCGCGGTTCAAAGCCAGCCCGGGTAGGAGAGACCGTGAGACTCCTATCTCCAATAAACCACCAGAAAACCGGAAGTGGCGCTGTAGCTCAAGTGGTAGAGCGCTCGCCTTGAGCTGAATAGCTGAGGGACAGCGCCCAGGCCCAGAGTTCAAGCCCCACAACCGACAAAAAAAAAAAAAAAAAAAAAAAAAAAAAGTAGTTATAGTTACCAAAATCTTTAACATTTCTCTTTTATATGAGTGTTTGATATTTGATGAATTCTCTTTATATTCCCTTGGAAATAAGATAAACTATTTCAGCCATCTTGCTGAGCAGAATTGTTGAATGCGATGTTGAATGTAATTTCTGAATAGTAAATTGTATCTGGACTGGGAAGAAATAGTAAACTAGAACTATTTAATGGAGATTCTTGCAACTGTGCATGCTGATTGCAATACTTGGTATCCTAGTAATATATATATGTGACTCTTTTTAAAATAAATATTTGTTTCTATTACTGCTGATGTTTCAGGACTTATTTTTATTTATTTATTTATTTAATCAGTTGGGGGTCTTGAACTCTGGGCTTGGGTGCTGTTCCTCAGCTCTTCAGCTCAAGGCAAGTGCTCTACTTGCCACAGTGCCACTTTCGGTTTTCTGGTTGTTAATTGGAGATGAGAGACTCACAGACATTCCTGCCCCGGCTGGCTTTGAACTGTGATCCTCAGATCTCAGCCTCCTGAGTAGCTAGGATTACAGGTGTGAGCCACCAACACCCGGCAGGACTTATTTTTGAAATACTTTTTTTTTTTTTAAATCACTGCTAATTTTCCAGGACTTAAGGTTTATTTGATAGATTGAAAAGGTTATTGGAGAAAAGCACAAATGAAGTAGCTATGTTATTTATCTCACTGAATTTAATGCGAATCTTAGAATTTGTTATTTTTATGTATTTTGTGTGATATTGTAACTTGTTTGCCATTTTTTTGCTGGGAGGACTTCAGGGTTGCTGAGGGTTGCTCATGGTTAGCACATGCACTACCACTTAAGCCACCTCCAGGCCTACTTTTTGTTGGCTGGTTAATTGATTTGAGTATTATGACTGCATATATCCAGTATTTCCTTCTCCATTCATCTACTCCCTCCCACTAGTTCTCCCTTTCCATTCAAAGCATTTTAGCTTCCTGATAGTTTGTTAAACTATCTGTTAATTGTTCAAAGAGTTTACACCATTTAGTTTCACTTTGGCATACACTGGTTATTTTAGTCACTGCTGGTTATTTTGGAAATGGAGCCTCATCAACTTTCAGCCCTAGCTGGTTTCAAACCTTGATTCTCTGGATCTCAGCCTCCAGGGTAGCTAGGATTATAGACATGAGCCACTGATTCCCTGCTGCCATGCACTTTTTTGATGAAAGGAATGAGCGTTATTTGGGTTTTTGTCTTTATATTTATGATTATAAAATAGTCGGATTGAGTTTATGAAAGAAATATCTATAAGTTTTTAAGTATATTTGTCATATATTAATACAGGTAATGGAGGCACAAATTTTTTTAAAATTTATTTTTTTGTTGTAAAGATATTGTAGAGAGGGGTTACAGTTACATGAGTAAGGTAATGACTACATTTCCTATTGAGCATTTTTACCCCCTCCTTTGTTTTTCCCCTACTATCCCTTCCCTCCCCCTGAAATCCTCCCTCTTCCCCCCACCAAGTTGTAAAGTTCATTTTCAACATAGTGTTTTGTATGTCTCATTGTTAAAATGGGTCATCCTGTATCCTTGTATCCTTGTTTCAGCATTTTGTTGTTTCCCTTCCCCTCTCCAAATTAGAGAAATGTATATACAAGATTCAGGGCACTGGAATCAAATACAGTGACAATAGGGGTTATACCATGGGGGAAGAACATAGAAAAGAAACAAAACAATAGTACATTAAAAACAACAGCAACAGAGAAAAAAATCCTCTTGTGTTCCTGTCTTGGGGTTCATTTCTTTTGGCATCATTTTATATGGTCATATGTATGTAGCTTTTGACCTTTTCTGATTGTCTGGTAAGATTATCTTAGATGTATATTAGTTATTGCAAATAAGGGAAACCATGGGACCTATGTTTCTTTGAGTATGGCTTACTTAATGTAATTTTTTTCCAAGTCCTTTCATTTCCTAGCAAATGTTGTAGTGTCATTCTTTCTGATGGAGGCATAGAATTCCATTTTATCTATATCTATATCTAAATACATATATATCTCTCTCACATTTTTGCCCCTCAGATGAATGGACCAAGAAAATTTGAGATATATATATATATATATATATATAAATATATAGTTTGTATCTTCATTGTATATGTATGTATATATGTATATGTATGTGTGTATATATATGTGTGTGTGTTTACACACACACACACACACACACACACACACACACACACACACACATACACTGGAGACACAGACTTTTTGAGAGATAGTATCCTTTCTATCTTTCTTAGGTTTTGGCTGGTTATATTAATAGTTTCAATATACTATGGTAGGTACTGTAATAGAAATAATGCATTGAGTTCTTGGATATATTTTATATAAACATTCCTAAATAACCTCCTGGGTGAACTGGAGGCTTTATCCTAGTGGAGTTTAAATAAATCTTGAAAGATGAGTAGATGGTGTGGAGAAAGGGATGGGGATAGGAGGAAAGCAGTATGTAATTAATATGAATGGGTATAACTTTCTTAGAGAAGTTTATTACAAAAATAAAAGGAAAAATACATTCATAGAGCATAGTTATTGAACTTAAAATTTTATTTCTAACTAAGGAAAAGAAAATTCTTTTGTCATACTGGTGATCTAAGGAAGATAATATTTGTTGTAAATGCTTGTTTGGAGGCTGTAATGTTCACTTTTAGAAATCACCTTTTTACATGTAGAGAAATATATGAAAGAAATCTGATATATTAGTGGTGATTATTCTGTTTTTCTTTCTCTAGGATGAAGGGAATATTTTGATTGCTGAAAGAAATGAAGTGCAACAGAAGCTATACATGACAGTAGATGTTTTTATTCTGGAAGTAGACGACTTACCACTTAATAAACGCCTGAAAACACTTAAGGTTTGGATAAAAAATATATGAAATATATGCTAAATTATAAGTTCATCTTTTAAACATTTTCTTAAATGGAATTGTATAAATAACCTGTTTTTTTGAGTCGTGACTTCTTTTGTATAAAAGAGCAGTAGTACAGTAAGAATTGACTTTTCTATAATGCAACCAACCCTGAAGGTTGCATTATAACAGTTCTCACTGTTAGTAAATATGACTGGAGAGTCTGCAATAAAGAACTTTTTTGGTGCTAGTACTGAGATATGAATACAGAGCCTAAAGCTCTTACTTGGCTTTATTATGACTAGTGATTAGAACTCTATTACTTGAGCCACACTTCCAGTTCTGGCGTTTTGCTGGCTAATTGGAGTTAAGAGTCTCATTGATTTGTCTTCCCAAATTGGCTTTGCACCTCTAGCCTCAGGTTTCAGCTTTCTGAGTAGCTAGGATTATAGGACTATGAACCTTAGTTTTGTGTTGTATAGATTGTAGTATGTGGTAGAGGGGTCTGGGGAAGAAGAAAAGCCTTTAACACAATTTTTAAGACTTCAGATTGGTTTAAGGATTAAAATTTTTTTTTAAGGTAGAGAAGTTGTGTTACTGTATCAAATGCTCAGCTATTCCATATTTGCTTTTTACTCCTGTGTGAAAATTATCTCAGCCACTGCTCTTTTCCAGGGCTACTATATTGGATGTAAATGCTGACATGTATTCCAGGGAAAAGAGAATGAAAGAGAATACTCCTGCACTGTCAACTCTTTTATCCTAGTTATAATATATTTATAATTATATATTATATTATTAACATTAATATATTATTAATATATATAATATATATCCTATATATCTGTGTTCTTGTGTGGTCTGTATATAACTCATTACATACTTTCCTGCCCAGCAAAATGGAGAGAATAAGAAAATGAAGAAAGTGCAGGTTCTGATCACAGTTTTTGCTGTCTTTCCATGGATTTCTTAGTTTTGGGATAAAAACTTCTGGAACCCATTGAGTTTTCCTCTTATTTGAGTAGCATTTTAAGGTTTGATTACTGGAAAAAGTAGCAGACTTTGCTGGTTGCGTTGTCTCTTTCAGTTCTTAAAAATGCTTTCAGCACATTATATTATGTTTAATGTCTTAATTGGAAGTATGTATTTTAGTGTGTAGTTTATTTTTACTTAGCAATAATACTGGAAGCTTCCATATCATTGTAATGGTTTTTATTTAAAGTCATTAAAAAGAGGACAGTTTCGATTTAAAAACCTAAGAATATGAAACTTCTTATTTGTGACTTAGGTACTTAATATACCTCGAACATTATAGTCCAAATAAATCATTTTCTAGACAGTTTTGTGTTTTTATCTTTGCATCTTTATTTATGATTCTGACAGTGTTGGAATCACTAATAAATAGTAAACTAATAAATACGAATATTTCTAGGATTTATCTACCTCTTTAGCAGCAGTGTATGGACAAGCTAAAGAAGGAACAAACTCTGAAGAAATACTTAGAAAATTTTATGATTGGAAGTGTGATAAAGGAAAGGAGTTCACAAGTGTTAGGAATGAAACAGAGGCTTCTTTGCAGCATCTTATAGCATGGTTCCAGAGCATCCTAAAGGTAAAGAAAATTTTGCTCACTGGTGTTTGTGACAGAAAACAAAGGATATTTATATTTTAATTGTATCCTTTCTTAATTTAAGAAATGACATAGTCTACTGTTAATTATCAGGTTTTAACTTGACACCTCGGTGGTCAAGTTTCTTTATAGCTTTTATTCACATTGCTCTGTATATTATTGACAAAAACAATAATCTTGGTTTTGTTCTTATTTTTCTTTTACCACTAATTTTCTTTCGGTATGCTGTGTGTGTGTGAGTGTGTGTGTGTGTGTGTGTGTGTGAGACTTTTCTTGTACATAAAGTTTTATGGGAGTTGTTTTTTTAATTTTGTAATCTTAAGAGTCCTAAATTGCCAATGAATAGCTTAATGCTCTGCTTGAAGTTTAAAGCACAAAGAATGCTAGTTGAATTAATTGAGATGCTTTTATTTCTGTCAAAAAGGTTTTTGATCTTTCTTTGGAAAAATCACTGACTTCTCAAATCAAAATTGATGATATTGATGACATCCTAGAAAAGACTGAATCGTGTGTTTGCAAAGAGCTGGAGTTAGCTCTAACTGTGAGTTTTGATACTTTTTATTATTGTTTAATTGGAAGCAGTGATTTCTCTTGCAAATTGGGAGGCATTAATCAGTACTATAGTTTTTCTTGCTCAAGTATTGAGACTGGTCTTTCTTTATGTAGGCTTTTTTTTTGAAAGAGTTCCATTGTTCTAAATATAATGTAAAGTCTTATGCTTCTACAGGGTGATGATCCCTCCCCTCCCCTCCCCTCCTCTCCCCTTCCCTCCTTCTCATGGCTTTCCTATGTCTGGGCTGGCTTCCAACTGAAATTTTCAGATCTCAGCCTCCTGAGAAGCCAGGATAACAGGTGTGAACCACCAGCACCCCACCCCACTTGTCCCTGAGATTTTTAGCTCAAACTTAGCACTTTACTAATTGAGCCACAGTTCCACTTCCTGCCTTTTTGTGTGCTTAGAGATAAGAGTCTTATGTCTTTCCTGCCTGTGCTGGCTTGGGCTGGCTTTGATCTCAGATCTCAGCTCTTTTAGTTGCTAAGGCTTGAGCCACTGGTGTCCAGCTTGATGCTTTCATTTTTATTTATTTATTTATTTTTGTCGGTTGTGGGGCCTGAACTCTGGGCCTAGGCACTGTCCCTCAGCTCTTCAGCTAGTGCTCTACCACTTGAGCCATAGCACCACTTCCGGCTTTTTTTCCTCCCTGTGTATGTGGTGCTGAGGAATCGATCCCAGGGCCTCATGCATGCAACGCAAGCACTCTACCGCTGAGCCACCTTCCCAGCCCAATGCTTGCTTTCTTTCTTTCTTTTTTTTTTTTTGTTGGTCGTGGGGCTTGAACTCTGGGCTTGGGCGCTGTCCCTCAGCTCTTCAGCTCAAGACGAGCACTCTACCGCTTGGGCCACAGTGCCACTTCCAGTTTTCTAGTGGTTTATTGGAGATAAGAGTCTCACAGACTTTCCTGCCCTTGCTGGCTTTGAACCAAGATCCTCAGATCTCAGCCTCCTGAGTAGCTAGGATTACAGGCGTGAGCCACCGGTGCCCGGCTTGCTTTCATTTTTAATAAGACATTTTACAACAAGAAAATCTAGTATTTAATTCTAGGAAACCCCTTTTAAGTAGATTAGCCTTCTATATCATTTGACTCTTGAGTTTATTTTCATGGCTCTAAGAAAGGACTTCTTTAGATCTTTGAAAACTTGAAATAAAGTACAAAGAGCTCTGGAAGTAGAAACACAAGATTGATTAATAGCTCTTTTTATTACGTATTTTTTTGTATTGTTGTATCAAGTTAGTAATTTGCATAGATCTTCAAAAGAATATTTTGTAATCCTTTCTTTGGTTATACTGGGGTGGTGATAGGCTTTCCCCCTGTACTAGTATTTTTTTAAATAAGTTTTTTTTCTTGTGAAAATACCATACAGAGAGGTTATAATTACATGAGCAAGGTAATAAGTACATTTCTTATCAAACATTGTTGCCCCCTCCTTTGTTTTTCCCCTACCACCCTTGCCCTCCTATCTCCACGACTACACTCCCCCCACCAGTATTTTTATAAGTTCAACATTGTTTATTAGGACTCTTTCCCAGTTATTGTCTGCTTTCCAGTCTCAGTGGTAATGCTTTTCATTTTCTTCCTTTTTTACTTTTTGCAGCTTTATTTATATTGCATTTCTCTATTAAGTAAGTTAAATTGATGTTGTTAGCCTTCTCAATGCACTAAAACTTAGTGTGTTGAAGTTCTGTATATTGTTTGGTTCTTATACTCAAGAGTATTAATAGCCTTGATTTTCTTTAACATTCTGCTTCTGAAAGATTTAAGAATAATACTGTAGCATAATAGAGATAACATTTTTATATGAACATGTTTGATACCAGTATTTTCTTCTGTCTAGAAGAAAATTGAGAAATAATTTCAAATGCATTTAACAGTATTTCAAAAATATTTTACAGTTCATTCTGTTAAAATTTCTGTTGTAAGAAATTTTAAGGGTTAGGGATGTAGCTCAGTGGTAGGTAGAATACCTGCTTAGTGTATATATCATGTATAGAGGGTTCAAGCCCAGAACTATAGCTCAGTGATAGAATGCTTGCCTAGTTTACACAAGGCAATGGAATCAACTTTCAGCCCTTGCAAAAAAGTTTTAACTGTTTTGTCTGTTCTTTTGTGTATAATATTTTGTGTATAATTTTTATTTAGGAACAACATGATGCAGACAAAGAGATCATTTTAAATACATATAGTCAAGTATTACAGAAGATCTATTTAGAGGAAAGGCTCATTGTTACACTACAGTCCAAGTATAAGGACAGCGTTGAGGTTGGATTTTGCTTTCTCTTACTGGTTTTTTCCATCAATATTTAAAATTTTTAATGCTTACATTTTTGTTAATTTATAATACTGAATTTAATACCACTGAGTTTAATACTAAGTATGTTAGTAAATTGTTTATTGCTAGCTGGCATATAATTGAATTTATAGTAAGACTGGTGATTTTTGTTCATATATTTTAGGTAAAAATCTTTGTTTTACTTTTGTATTTGGAAACATCTTCTTTTCATCATTTTTTTCTGTCTGTACAAATTTACTGAAGTATTTACTCCATGTAAAATAAAAAAAAAAAACCTATCCTAGTTTCAGAGACAGTTTCACAGTATTTCCTTTTTGAGTGGATATACACAGCCACACATAAATAATGTGCATTATATTTGTTATATAAGTTATTTTGAAAACATCTCCTTCCTTAATTGTACATGATGAATATTTTCCCATGTGATGTACAGTTCTTCTGTATTATCATTTTGAATAAATAAGTGATCATTCCTGTGCAGCTCTTTAACATTAACCATGCACATATATGGAACATTGAAGTTACTTCTAATTTTTTTCTATCATGAATAACATTCTACACCATCTTTGTAGGTGTGTAACTTCTGTGATCCCTAAAATTGTTATGTTCAAGGTAAAAAGAATGAATATTATTTAAGCTTTATAATACTATCATACCATTTTTGGAAAGGATTATGTCAATTTATATCATCATTAGAAATTCCAGTTTGCATTCATATTAGCAGTGTGTATCTCACTGTATATCTCTTTCTGCATATGTAAATAAAATTGAGATTCTGTCAATACTGTAAATGTTTCCCTGTGTATGTACCATTACCTTTTTGAAAACTGAAGTTTTTATTTTATTTTTTAGCATTTCAGTTTAAATTCAGGTAGTCAAGTATTAGTGGAGAAATAAAGTAGTAAATGTTGTTGTCTAATATGTTTGAAAATTTTGTAACTTTCTTTCACTTAGTTTAAAAGTCAGATTATTGAATGTTTAAATAAGAAACCCAGTGTGGATCACTTGCTGTCCATTAAGAAAATGCTGAAAAGCTTGAAAGCTCAACTGAGATGGAAACTGGTGGAAAAGAATAATTTGGAAGAAGTAAGGAAGCAAGTAACTTCTTACTGAAGTCTATTCCTAGCTCTCACTACCTGAGGGTGAAAGTCATATGTAATATGAGTATAAAATAAGAGTTATTACAGTCACATTTTGCTATTTGCATTTTACCTTCTTTGCACATTGAAGTAAGATTCAGACTACATTAGTAGTGTAAACATTTTAAATGGATGTTGTGATTTTTAGTAATATTAATATTTTAGTATAATTTTGTAAGCTTTTAAAATTGTTATTGTAAAGGTGATATACAGGGGGTTACAGTTACATGTCAGACAATGAGTAGATTTCTTTTTGAACAGTGTCACCCCGATCCCTTGCTTTCTCCCAGTTCTTCCCTCCTGTTCCCCCCCCCCCCCCCAAGTTGTATAGTTCTTTTCAGCATAGTGTCTGGTGAGTAGTACTGCTGTATTTGTTCACCCTTTATCCCATCATTTCTGTGCTCCCCCTTACACTCCCCTAACAAATAAACTTACAAACAAGACAAAAGGTACAAAAAACAAAAACAGTAACAAAAAAGACAAAACCCTTCTTGTTTCCATTTCTTAAGTTTTTAAAAAAGTTTATTACATGCTGTACAGAGGGGTTACAGTTATATGAGAAAGGTAATGAGTACATCTTCTTTCCATTTCTTGAGTTCATTTTGATAACTATTTTATATGGTAATGTGCACATAGCTATTGTGACTTTGTGATACTCTCTTAAGACTATTATACTTTGGTCTTACTGTGTGAATGCCTAGAGTCCTGTATAATTTATTGTTCCCAAGTATAACTTTTGTCTTTCACCAATCAGTGTGTTTATGTATAGATTTATAGGCACATTCTAGTTATGACAAATGAGGGAAACTGTGCAACCTGTTTCTTTGGGTCTGAATTACTTTGTAAACTTTTGGTTTGAACTGTTCGAATGTCTGTAAAACAAACCTACTGTTTTGTTATAAAGTCTTTTAAGAGTTTGTTGTTGTTCTGGTTCAAGACCAGGATTCAAAATCTTGGTCTGATGCTCTTACTCACTGACTGACATGTTATCCCCAAAGCCACAAGTCCAACCCCTTTACATTTTTTCCTTTGAAATTGGCAGTACTGGGAAATTTAAGAAGTGCTAGAGTACCTTGCAGTTCTTACATGCTAGATATTGAAGTATACACAGAAATTACCCAGAATGAGTTATTGTAGAAATTGCTTTAATTGTTAAAGGAAAACTTGCTTTTAGTTTGCCCTAATAAGCTTGTAAATATTACTTTTTCTTTCTTATAAAGTCTGATGACCATGATGGATCTGAAATTGAGAAAATAAAACAAGAAATTACTGAGTTACGTTATAGTGTCTTTCAGGAAATTTATCATGAGAGGGAAGAGTATGTAAGTATTTGACTTTTTAAAAAATTTAAATTAGATTTTAGTCTAGAAATTGAATTTAAATAAAATGGACTATAATCATAGGCAATAGGTATTACCTTTGAATAGTAATATTTATGTGAATTTAAAAATGTCTCATGAAGTAATAGTGATTATTGTATAAGTGTAGAATTCATAGGAAATTGTTAAGAAAAAAATACATTACTTTTGAATCAGAATCCTCAGAACTCAGTCTTCTGAGTATTATAGCATTATAGTATTATAGCATGACCCACTGGAATTGTTAGTGGCTAACTTAGATTCAAGGTGAGTCTTGGTTTTTGAGTAATACTTTTTGAAGTAGAAGTTAAAATCAATAGTCCATCTTTTTACATCGTAACAAGGTAGATCCTGCTAATATAGTCAACATGTCACAGTTGAATATATACAGTTTTTTTTTTTTTTTTTTTTGGGTCCGGTCATGGGGCCTGAACTCTGGGCCTGGGCGCTGTCCCTCAGCTCTTCAGCTCAAGGCTAGCGCTCTACCACTTGAGCCACAGCACCACTTCCGGCTTTTTTTTTCTTTTTGTTTATCTGGTGCTGAGGAATTGAACCCAGGGCCTCAGGCATGCAAGGCAAGTGCTCTACCACTGAGCCACCTTCCCAGCCCCTGCATATATACAGTTTTAAAAATTACATTTTTACATTTTAAAACTGCATGTCTACAATAAAAAATTACATTTTTAATTTTAGGAGATGCTGAGTAACTTGGCACAGAAATGGCTCCCTGAGCTTCCTCTACTTCACCCTGAAATAGAATTACTAAAATACATGGTAAGCTTTGTTTTCCATGAGGATTAGATTATGCAGAGAATGTAGAAAAGTAATGATGAATGATGTTCAGATTGCATGTCAGTGTGAAATTTATAGTATCATTTTCAGAAAAAATTTCCTGGTGAAATTTTCAAAAGTATTATCAGAGTCTTTACTCGAAGTTGTCTTAAAATAATTTCATGTTAAAAAATTCTCTTGTCATCATGCAGGATATTGCATGATATTTATTTGAATTAATGATGTTTTTCTTTTGAGATGATTAACCAAAATTTAATTGTTCCAAGAGTTACTATAAAGAGAGGATACCTATAGCCATGAAGAATTTAAACACAATGTGACTTTAAAGTAGACTGGGAAAATATTTGACAGGAGTAGTCTATTGTGGAAAGGTTGAAGATAGTATTTTCTAGGCAGGCAGAATTCAAAATCCTATCATTCAGTTAGCTATTATTGAGGATCAGTCTGGAGCAGTACTGGTAAACTCTGGCTCTCAGGGAAGAATCTGTTACCTCTGCATTTTATTTTGCTGGTAGAGATAAGGAACTAGATAAAAGAGAACTGTCCCTCTGGTATCTATGCAGCATTGGTTCTACCTGGTTCCTTACCCATTTTGTACCAAAATCCAAGATGCTTAAGTTTCTTATTTAAAATAGCTTAATATTTGCAAAAAACCTGTGTATATCTTCCTGTATACTTTCAGCTCACTTCTAGATTGAGTATAATATCTAGTATATAAATGTTATGTAAATAGTTGCTATATAGTATTATTTGGCAAATAGTGGCAAAGATCTGCATAACAATTATAGATGGAAGTTTTTGAATATTTTCAATTCCTAGTTGGTTGAATCCATGAGTACAAAATTCACAGTCATCTTTATTTGTTATGATTTTCATTAAGTTAATGATAATGTATTAAATATAATACAGGAAAGAATGTTGTGTAAACAAACTTAAAAAATTAATATAGATGCTATTAGATGGTATGGACATCATCAACTGGTTTTAGTAAACGTGAGATTCCCTAGAAGCATGTCTGATTAATCTGTTATCTCTGATCACTTTTGGAATTATAGCAATCATTAACTCTATGAAAGTTACATTGTGGGTGAGGGGAGTTCAAGAATTTGAAACTAGACTGACTTAATTAATATATTGCCACTTGAAATCAGGGCCTAGGGACTGTTCTTGAGCTTTTTTTGTTCAAGGTTACCACTTGAGCCACAACTTCACTTTGGCTTTTTTGGTAGTCATTAATGGAGATAAGAGTCTCACGGATATTCCTGCCAAGGCTGGCTTCAAACTGTGATCCTTAGCTCTCAGCCTCCTGAGTAGCTAGGAATATCTGGCACATGGCAACATTTTTATTTTACTTTTTCAATAGGTTGATGATGTCCATACCACCTAATAGCATTTATGTTGATGTTTTAAAATTACTAGGATTAAAAACCTTAAACTGTAATAAAAATATGTACCTAGGACTCTGGTGGTCTTCTTACTACAAGCTTGGAACGAGATCTTCTTGATGGTGAGCCCATGAAGGTACTTAGTAGCAAGCGTCCTGTGGTATGCTCTGAAGTTAATGGGAAGCCAGTTCTTTTAAAGGTAACTATACATTATGACTTGGGGGAGAGTTACTTTTTATGAAAGAATATATTGTTTATTTTATAAAGTAGATTAAGTTGATTAGAATGATGACTGTAGTAGAAGAAAATCTGACTTTCAAATTTCTCTCATTTCCCTAAGTAGTACTTATCTTAAATAGGATTTACCTGCTCCCCCTTTTTTTTTGGTGAACTAAATCTATCCAATAGTTTTTTAAAGTTCTTGCTATTTTTAGAAAAATAAAATTCTTGAAAGTATCTGCTGTGTTGACAGCATAGTCTTCTGTTTATTTCTTCCATGATTTGAGATGGTGTTCGTCATCATAATAGGATATTGAAATTGTACTTGCCATGTACTCTAAAATGTATATGAGATACAGGTAAAATTGTTTCTTTTCTAACTTAACAGTGTTCAAAGCAAATAGAAAAGATCTAAAATTGAATGAAATGTAACATATAAAAATTACTTCTTGTGCTTAAGCTGGGTTAATGTATAATTCAAGTAGAAATTTTAATTTTGCAGTTACCAGTGCTTCTTTTTTTTTTTTTTTTTGATACAAGGGCTTTTCTGTGGATGTTGATACAGAAGTTAAGGTGATTCAGAGAGCAGCCAGTTACTACAAAGCTTGTAAAGAAACTAGAGAGGAGTCTGGGTTACTGCCATTGATATTCCTGTTTTTGTGTAAGGTAAAATTCTTTTTTTTAATAAGTATTTTTTTATTTGTGAAAATACCGTAACAGGGGTTACAATTACATGAGCAAGCTAATGAGTACATTTCTTATGAAGCATTGTTGCCCCCTCCTTTGTTTTTCCCCTACCATCCCTGCCCTCCTATCTCCACAACTGCGCTCCTCCCCCCAAAGTTGTAAAGTTCGTTTTTCGACATAGCATCTTGTACATCTCATTGTTGCAATGGGTCCACCTGTATCCCTGTTTAAACAATTTGTTTATTCTCTTGCAGAAGAAAATTTATTTAAAATGAGTTTGGGCTCCAGGCTTTAGAATAGTAGTTCACTCCTTTTAATAAGAATCCAAAGTTACTTTATAGAATGAGTGCATACCACAAATAGGTTCAATTTTACATTTTCATCACATTCTGTTTTGCTTCTTAGTCTGATCCAATGGCTTATCTGATGGTTCCATATTATCCTAAGGCAAACTTGAGTGCAGTTCAAGCCAGTAGGCCTTTAACTTCAGAAGTAAGTAGAAACATTATTTTCATAGATATATTAGATGAGACAGTATCACATAATATTTATTTAGGTCATACTACATGCTATTTTGTATAGTTTTGTCTTGGGTTATTTTTGTCATGAAGCTCTGTGATGTGAGTTATCCTATTAAGCAAATGAGAAAAATAAGGCTTAGAGAGATTGAGTGTCTTATAGGGTCTTTCAAAAAGAGATAGAATTGGGACTAGAAATCAGGTTTTTTTCTGGTTCCAAAGTCCAAGCTAATCACCATTACAGATTTTTAAGTAGCAGCCTTAATTTTTATCACTGCAAGTTTAGAATTTGTAACAATAATAAAGGAGGCCTGGTTTCTTCCAGTGTAGTACCACTATTCAGTCTCTTCTTGGCTGTTGCTTCCATGATTATTATGTATAATTTGTGTGTGTGTATGTATGTACCAGCCATGTTTACCAGTTATACAATGAAAGCTTCAGCTACTGTGAGTTCTGTTGCTTTTTGTTTTGTTTCTTTGGTAGTACCAGGGTTTGAACTCAAGGATTCATGCTTGCTGGGCTTATATGCTTTACTGATAGTCTTCTGCTAGAGCCACTACAGCCCAGTTTTTTGCTAGTTATTTTTGAGTCAGGCTCTCATATGATTTTTTGGCCAGGCTAACTTCAATTCAAACTTTTAGATCTCAGCGTTGTGTGTAGGTAGAATAATAGGTATTAGCTACTAGCTCCTGGACTTATGCAATACTTTTAGTAAAGATTCATTTGAAAGAAACTTACTCAATTATGGAACAGTCTTTTAAATGAGAATAGATTTATATATTAAAAGAATCTGCCTATTTTGTATCCTATTTTGTTTCTACTAAAGGAAGCTTTAAAAGTCATGAAAGGTGTTGCCCAGGGCCTGCATACATTACACAAAGCTGGCATAATTCATGGATCACTTCATCAGAACAATATATTTGCTTTAAATCGTGAACAAGGAATTGTTGGAGATTTTGACTTCACCAAATCTGTGGTAAAATATCATGGTTTTACAAATACGATATAGATGTTAATTCTAGACATGATGTAATTATTTATCATAGGATCTGTGCTTTTCAGTTGAGGTGTGTCATATGCAATAATCTGCTATCACTTAGGTTATAGAACAAGAGTTAAGTTTTTGCATTGTATATTTTAACCATAGGAGAAATGACACTCAGTGGCTTTGACAAACAATCATTAGGAAATATGTGAATACCTCTCTGATGGTGTCCCTTCTCTTTCATTAAGTTTAAATATACATACTTTGATGCTTTTTTTTATTAGTAATGTGAATTTTTAGAAATGGCACCATAGATGTTTTCAGTTACAGTGGTATGTCATAATAGACAATTTGTAGATAAAGAAAAAACATATAAAAGCAGATTCAAAAAGTACAAGATTATGAGGATCAGTTTCCTCTTCATTTTAATTAATAAAGATACATATATTATGTTCAACATGTTGTTTTGAAATACATAATCTTTACATGTAGAAATGACTAAACAATTCTCATTTTAAAAATAGCTGTATTGGCTGAGTGCTGGTTGGTCATGCCTGTAATCCTAGCTACTTAGGGGCTGAGATAGGGAGAGTGAGGTCCTAAGCCAACGGAGGCCAAAAAGTTTGTGAGGCTCCATCTTCAAAATAACCAAGAAAAAGCTGGGCTGGAGTAGTGGCTCAAGTGGTTAAATGCCAGCCTAGCCTTGAGTTCAAACCCCAGTACCACAGAAAGCTTTATTGAAGTATAATTCAAGTAGCAGAAATTATACAATTCAGTAGTAGCTTTTAGTTGATTCATAAAGTTCTCTACTGGTCACCACTGTCTAATTCTAGGATATGTTTCATCATTCCCCAAAAGTCATTCTCCATTTCTTCCTTCATGCAGGCCCTAGAGATAACTAATAAATTTTTTTTTTTTTGGTCCGGTTGTGGGGCCTGAACTCTGGGCCTGGGCACTGTCCCTCAGCTCTTCAGCTCAAGGCTAGCACTCTACCACTTGAGCCACAGCGCCACTTTCGGCTTTTTTCTTTTTGCTTATGTGGTGCTGAGGAATTGAACCCAGGGCCTCATGCATGCAAGGCAAGTGCTCTACCACTGAGCCACCTTCCCAGCCCTCACTAATAATTTTTTTTTTTGGGTCCGGTCATGGGGCCTGAACTCTGGGCCTGGGCACTGTCCCTCAGCTCTTCAGCTCAAGGCTAGCGCTCTACCACTTGAGCCACAGTGCTACTTCTGGCTTTTTTCTTTTTGCTTATGTGGTGCTGAGGAATTGAACCCAGGGCCTCAGGCATGCAAGGCAAGCGCTCTGCCATTGAGCTACCTTCCCAGCCCCTCACTAATAAATTTTTGTCTCTATGAATTTACTTATTCTGGATATCTCATATAAATGAAATCATGAAATCCATGTTAGCTGGGTGCTGGTGGCTCATGACTATAATTCTAACTACTCAGGAGGCTGAGATCTGAGGATAGTGGTTCAGAGCCAGCCCAGGCAGAAAAGTCCTTCAGATTCTTTATTTCCAATAAACTACTCAGAAGAAGCTCTTGAGATGTGGTTTAAAAGGTAGAGTGATGGGGCTGGTAAGGTGGCTCAGTGGTAGAGTGCTTGCCTTACATGCATGAGGGCCTGGGTTCGATTTCTCAGCACCACATAAGCAAAAAGAAAAAAGCCAGAAGTGGCGCTGTGGCTCAAGTGGTAGAGCGCTAGCCTTGAGCTGAGGAGCTGAGGGACAGCGCCCAGGCCCAGAGTTCAGGCCCCTGACCGGACCCCCCCCCCAAAAAAAAGAGGTAGAGTGATAGCAAAAGAAGCTGAAGATAGTGCCCCAGCCCTGAGTTCAAGCCCAAGGACTGGAAAAAAAGAAGAAGAAAAAGTTTTTCCATGTTGTAGAACATATTGTCAACATTTCTTTTTAAGACCAAATACATTATTTCATCATCTATGCCATAGTTTGTTTATACATTAATCAATTGATTGACACTTGGGTTTATAGGTTTTGGTTATGAATAATGTTGACATGACCATTGGTTCTTGGGTAGACATGTTTTAATTTCATTTTTTTCTTTCAGTGGTACTGGTCTTTGAACTAAGGACCTCAAGCTTGATAGGAAAACATTCCCACTATCCTAGTTTTGTTTTGTTTTTATTTTTAAATTTTTTAAATTTTTTTTATGAGTAGGGTCCACATTTTTACCTGGAGCTAGTCTTGAAGTGTGGTTCTCCTGTTTATGTTTCCCATGTAGCTGGGACTGTAGTCATGCACCATCATCTCTCTATTGATATGGTGTTACACTAACTTTTTTGGCCAAGGTCATTTCAATTTAATGTAATAAAAGTCTTCTGTTAATTTTGAGTCTTAGGAGCAATTTATTAGAGCAAAATACAATTAAAAATTTAATTTTTGAAAACTTTATTATAATCAGAATACTTCATGTTACCTACAAATTATTTATATTATTTTTTATAGTGTCAGAGAGCCTCAGTGAACATGATGGTTGGTGGACTGAGTTTGATGTCACCTGAATTGAAGATGGGAAAGGCTCCTTCCCCAAGTTCAGACTTATATGCTTATGGCTGCCTTTTATTATGGGTATGTTACCTTTCGAAATATATATTTCGAAAAATCGATTTCAGTATGCAAAGTGATGATTATAGTGATTCTTCTTAACATTATTTTGGATAAAGTGCAATAATTTACTGTACTTTTAGTATGTTAGTATATTATTATAGCTATTGATACCTTTCCTTATACCTTCTGTGACTTAATATCTGAGTATTGTGTTATCTTAGTTTTTTAAAAGTTGAGATTTATAGTGAAGATGATTTTGTTCTATAATTTAGAAAATTTTCATACATTTATGGAAAATAATTTGGTTTCTAGTGTAGATCAATTAGTTATTTGTTACCTGTGGTTTATGAGGGATTAAATAACAAGGGAAGTATATGTGTTCTTCTAGTCGACATAGCAGTGAAGATTCTAGTCTAGGGATCAGCAGACATTTTATATAAAGGGCCAGCTGGTAAATGTTTCAGGCTTTCTGGGCAATAAGTTCTGTGTTGTGGGAATCCTGCTGTTCTAGCACAAAAGCAGCCATAATATATTTATCAAATGTCATTTTCAAATATTTTCGCTATATTGAAGCAGTTTTTTCATTTTCTGCACATGCGTTTTGCCATGCAGAAGGTTTTATTTTTTTATTTTTATTTTTATTTTTTGGCCAGTCATGGGGCTTGAACTCTGTGGCTTGGGCGCTGTCCTTGCGCTCTTCATCTCAAGGCGAGCACTCTACCGCTTGAGCCACAGCACCACTTCCAGTTTTCTAGTGGTTTATTGGAGATAAGAGTCTCACAGACTTTCCTGCCTGGGCTGGCTTTGAACCGTGGCCCTCAGATGTCAGCCTCCTGAGAAGCTAGGATTACAGGCTTGAGCCACCAGCACCCGCCTAAGCAGAAGGTTTTAATTTGATTATGTTAAGTATTTTTCAAGATTTCAACTTTTTATTTCATGATTTTTATATCTTTATTGAATTCCTTTTTTATATCTAGCATTTCTTCCTTAATTTCTTCACCTGTTTATTTGAATTCTCTTTGAGTTTATTTAACTATTTGTATCTTCTTTGAATTCATTCAGGTGCTTATACATGTCTTTAATTTCATTGATGAGTTACTGTTGATCTTTTTTTAAAATAATTTTTATTGAGATTAAGTGATTATGGAAATTTCATAGTATTGTGTGATAGTGGTACTTAGAGTCATATACACAATTTAAACTTTACAGGGCAAATTGTCATTATCATGCTCTATAATATTTATGAATTCTATAAGCTTTGATAATACAACTATTTCTTCTACATCAGGTAATAAGGACATTTCTTATCTTTTGCTTAGTGTAAGCTATTTCCTTTTACCCTCTCATTACTTCCATCCCATTGCTGCCATTGAGTTGCTTAATTCAGTTTCATCAATGTCCAGTATAGCTAATGGGCCCCTTCATAGTATTTTCCCACATTTCCCTCTGATTCTGTGTCCTCCTCCTAGCTTCACTCAGATGGATGTGTGTGTGCCTGCACGCGCGCACACACACAAACACACACATACACCATGTACGAGGTCAAGAACATGAAATCATTTAGAAATTGTACCACAAATTAAGTAGATGTCCTTTGTTTCTTGAGTCCTGTTTACTTTGTCATATCTCCTTGTATTTTGGAGGAGACATGTTGTCTTGTTTTCTTATATTACTTATGTTTTTATTTTGGGATTTATGCATTTAAATCATGTCATAGGTTCCAATTTCTGCATTTTCCTCCAGTAAATAGTCTTCAGCATTTAGGCATTAGTGGCTGGGTTCAGGTTCTATTTCTCACCACTAGACTGAGTGTATGGCTTAGTAGCCAAGCAATTGCCCACTACTCAGGGAATTGGGTTTGATCCCAAGCACTGTCTAAATCAAGGTCATCCAACTGGAGTCACTTAAAGAGAGTCAGTTGTCTGATTGTGGGGTGCTTTCATTTTAGAAGCTTCCTTTCTTTGTATAAGGTAGGTTCTCTTGTGTGCAATCTTTATAATTTGTGGGCAGTTACAGATCTCTATTGTCTCCGTATCCTCACTGATTTGTGTCCCCAGTGGCAAGAAGTATCTAAGCCTTGGAGTGATGCCCAGGTGCCTCAGAGAATGAAGGAAGCAAACAGAACAGAATTCTGTACTGACTGGGTTGTTGAATGGAGGACCCTGTTCTGCCTGCTGGTTTTAACGTTCTTAGACTTTGTTTAGCAGTCTACCTCCCTTTGCAGAGAAGGAGACTGGAAGTTTTTGATTCAAGGGTATCTGGATTGGGCCCTCAGTTCTAAATGTCAGGAAATAACCACTTGGATGCAATTCCCAGGGACAGGTCTGAGTGTTCTTAGGCTTTGCTTTGAGTGTGGGGAGGAGGCCATATGGATTTTTTGAATCTCTTGATTCATAGGGTTTGGGTTCATGGTCCTACTCACCCAACAGCCAACGTATGAAGCTAGGACACAGTCCTGGAGGTACAGGCACAGTGTTTTGTTTCTGTCCTAACATCAGGCAGTGGGACTTGTTGGCTATGGAGGATGATCACCACAGCTCCCTAACTTGGTAGTGCAGTTCTTCACAGGTTGAAATTCTCAGCATACTATGCCAGAAACTCCCTTTTTCCTTGATCATCTGTGTTGGCCATCTACCCAGACTCTGTGTCAGGGTGTCCCGATATACCAAGAGCTATTAGTATTCATTGTTTTCAGGCTCCTTTAGTATTTCAGTCTCAAATCAAGAGGTCCTTTCTCAAGATGGTACCTTGCCTTTTCTCTCTGAGATAAGGGGAACAACAGAATGTCTTATTTCACCAAAGCTAGACTTGTACACTGAAGTAGCCAGTTTTCACAAATCCCTCACTGGGTTTAAGGTTTGCAGGTGCTATGGGCTTATATCTAGTATTAGCAGTCTATCACTAAGGTCATTTGCTTTACCCTGTGATAGCCTCTTTCTTCCTTTCTCTCCTGGAAAGTTGGTGATGGGCTTGGAACTGTTTGACATTTTTCTCTGCTTTTCTGCCATTCTCCTACCTCTTGTGATTCTTGATCTATATAGTTTATATTTCTTGAACACAAATATTGGAATGTGAATTACCTTATTTCCTTACTAATTTCTGAGTGTTGTTAAAGTCAACATAATATAGACTGCAACAACTTTTTCTTATAAAGCAAGGAAGTAATAAAGTATTTGAATTGTATACATAGGTTTTTGTTGTTGTTTTTTTTTTGCTAGTCCTGGGACTTGAACTCAAGGCCTGGACATGGTCCCTGAGCTTCCTTTTGCTCAAGGTTAGCACTCTACCACTTGAGGTACAGCACCACTTCCAGCCTTTTCTGTTTATATGGCACTGAGGACTAGAACCCAGAGCTTCATGCATGCTAGGCAAGCACTCTGCCACTAAGCCACAGCCATCCCTGCACTTGTTTTTTTTTTTTTTTTTTTGGATCTGGTTGTGGGGTCTGAACTCTGGGCCTGGGCCTGGGTGCTGTCCCTCAGCTCTTCAGCTCAAAGTTAGCGCTCTACCACTTGAGCCACAGTGCCACTTCCGGCTTTTTTTTTCCTTATGTGATGCTGAGGAATCGAACCCAGGACCTCATGCAGGCAAGGCAAGCGCTCTACCACTGAGCCATCTTCCTAGCCCATATACTTGGTTTTGATTAACTCTTTAGGGACAACTCATTGGTTGTTCTTGAGTAAGCATTTTTACCTTGCAAGAATTAATGTGTTTTCTGAAATGTGCTCTTCTCTATTCACCACAAGTTAAATATTTTTGTATAGGATGAGTAAAAAATTGATACCCTAATCTCTACTTATTCTTATGTTCTTTTACAGCTTTCTGTTCAGAATCAGGAATTTGAGACAAATGAAGATGGAATCCCCAAAGTGGATCAGTTTCATTTGGTATGTGACTTTCTTTTTTTAATTTTTATTTATTTATTTATTTCTGTCAGTTGTGGGGCTTGAACTCTGGGCCTGGGCACTGTCCCTCCATTCTTCAGTACAAGTCTAGTACTGTACCACTTGAGCCACAGCACCACTTCTGGCTTTTTCTGCTTATGTGGTGCTGAGGAATCAAACCTAGCGCCTCATGCATGTTAAGCAGACACTCTACCACTGAGCCACCTTCTCAGCTCCGGTATGTGATTTTTTATTTGTTAGTTTGAAGTATGTTTAACTATTAAGCATTAAACTAGAAATGTCCTCTAATTTTGGTAAGAATCTATAATATAATTTAAAGAAGTTTTGGAGAAATTTCAAATTTTTTATTTATGATACTGCCTAATAATCTAAATTATTGGGTTGTATGTTTGTTACAAATTTATATTAATTGGGCTGGGAAGGTGGCTCAGTGGTAGAGTGCTTGCCTTGCATGCATGAGGCCCTGGGTTTGATTCCCCAGCACCACATAAGCAAAAAAAAAGCCGGAAGTGGCGCTGTGGCTCAAGTGGTAGAGTACTAGCCTTGAGCTGAAGAGCTGAGGGACAGCACCCAGGCCCAGAGTTCAGGCCCCACAACCAGACCCCCCAAATTTTTTTTATATTAATTATCTAAGTAATAATTGAGAAAATAAATTCTTTGTAGTATGTTTCATGATCTTATTATACTGAAATTTTAATTTTTTTATATAAGTACCTCATTATATCTTTTCTTTGTAATTCATCTATATCAGTTAGATTGCTTTCTGATATATATATATTCAAACAACATATTGAGAACCTATTGAACTAGGTTCTAGAAATACAGGATTATAGCACTGAAATAATAATAAATCTAAATAATAATTTAGATATGTGAACAAGTAAAACAAAAGGAGCATGAAAAGCCACTTTCAAGGAAGTGAATTTTTAGATCTTTGTGGAAAATGGGTATTCATTATGATTAGATACTAAAAAATTAAGTGATAACATAATTATCTAGCTCTAGAATTTCCTATGATATTTTGATAGTTTGGATTACAGTGAAAGAATGCAAGATTTTGTTTATGATAATAGTCTCTTAGTTTATCTGTTTTTTTTTTTTTTTTCCTATAACTACTAAAATCCCATGAATTAGTTTTTTTTTGTTTTTGTCAGTATTGGGGCTTGAACTCTGGGCCTGGGTGCTGTTCCTCAGCTCTTTAGCTCAAGGCTAGTGCTGTAGCACTTGAGCCACAGTGCCACTCCCGATTTTCTGGTGGTTAATTGGAGATAAGTGTCTCTCGACTTTCCTGCCTGGGCTGGCTTTGAACCATGATCCTCATATCTCAGCCTCCTGAGTAGAGCTCGGCTCATCAATTATTTTTTTTTTTAATTTTTTTTTATTGTGAAAATACTGTACAGAGGGATTACAATTACATGGGCAAGATAATGAGTACATTTCTTAACAAGCATTGTAGCCTCCTCCTTTGTTTCCCCTTCCCATTCCATCCTCCCCTCACCCCCCCACCTAACCCTCCTCCCCCCCTACCAAAGTTGTAAAGTTCGTTTTCAACATAATGTTCAATTAGTTATTGTTTTTGTTTTTAAATTACCTTAGGAAATGTTACAAGTTTTGCCACACTTTTTAGGAAGTTGTAATCACTTGGAGATTATGAAACAGTATTTCATTTCCTGGCTTACTATACAAAATGAGATAACAGGGAAGGTTAATGTTAGTTTACAATGTTAAAAACCTATTATTCAAATTTCTTGTTCCTAGCTGGCATTACCTCAGAGGTGTTACAGTTTTTCCCAAAATGTAGAATCTTCATTCTTCAGTTTTGATAGGAAAAATTGCTTTTTATAATGTCATCCTGAAATGTAGTGACTTAAAATACCTGTATTATCTTACTCTTTGGTGAGTCAGTAAACTTGGCACAACTTATTTGCATCATCATCTTCAGGGTCTTTTCTAGGGTGCTAGAAAAGTGAGGTTGCTGACCGTGCTTTTCTGGGACTAGATATGCTTTCAAGCTCACATATTTGTCCATAGATTTCATTTCTTTAAGTTTGGACAGAGAGTGGTCTGTTGTATTCTAGTTGTTGGCCAGAAGTTGCCGTCTTATTTTTTTGCCACGTTTCCACCATAGCAACTTATTTATAATGCAATAATGTTCACTAGTTACATTTTTAAAATAATGACGCCACAGAATTGATATTCCATCATTTTGCTATGTTATCTTTGTTAGAACAATATTTTATGTCTAGCATATTCTCTGTGGGGGTGGGGATTCATGAAGATAGCAGTACCATGAGGCTAGGGTCATTTGGAGTAGTCTTAGATGATTGCCTCCCATAAAGCATGTGTCACCTTTATGCTGGCCACTCTGCTATGTGTGTGTAAAATGAAGCTGAATAAGTACCCAGGCCCTGTTTATAGTCCTTGCTTAATGTGAATAACTATGTCACATTATAAGAATGTTTTATTTGGGTTCCTTTACCTATATTGTGTGATCACATACAGTTAAGCAAGCAAGCCATGATACTATTGTCTGGTCATTATAGTTGTCATACCACAAATGAAGAAGAATATGAATTTATGAAATCTGACAGTTTAAAGTATAAAGGATAATTCACCATTCTCATTTTTCAAAATATGTGCAACACATGTCCCGAACCTCTACCCAAATACTTTTAAGTTTAATAGAACACATTTCACTATTGTGTGAAATCAGTTCCTTGAAAGGGATAATATGTATATTTGAAAGTTACAGATTTTAATTTTCAGAAGGAAGCACTACTACAAACCTAATCTCCCACTAGTATGTACCACAGTTACCTAGTTTTGTTCTCTAGTAACACACTAGTTTCAGGCAAATCTTCCCAGAAAAGTCTACATAGATATATCCTTTAAAAATGAATTATTTCTTTTTATTATGTTTTAAAGAAATTATAGCATTTTTGTGAAGATGGCTATTTTATTGATTGATTGATTGATTGATTGCTGTTCATGAGGCCTGGGTGCTTTCTCTGAGTTCTTTTTGCTTAAGGCTAGCATTCTTCTGCCACTTTGAGCCACAGCTCCATTTCCAGTTTTCTGTTGTTTAATTGGAAATGAGAGTCTCACAGGGACTTTTCTGCCTGGGCTGGCTTTGAACTGCAATTCTCAGATCTTAGCCTTCTGAGAAGCTAGGATTACATGTGTGAGCCACTGGTACCCAGCCTCATTTTTTTTTTTTTTGTACAGTTTTCAGTTCCTCAAATCAGTTTATTAATACAGTGTATCTTGATCAATGCCACCCCTTTCATTATCCTTCCCCATCTTTTGCCATCCCTATCCTCAAGGTAGATAGTCAAGTACTAAGCTGTTTTGGTTATTACAGCTCTGCAGTAAAGTTTGAGATCTGAATTTCATTTGAATGTATTTTTTTAAGTAAGCCAATCATAAATCATTCCTGTGGCATTATATTATTGTTGAGTAGTAAATTTTGAAATTGGGAAATGTGAGTCCATCTAGTTTGTTCTTTTTCAGAATTGTCAGGATTGTTGGTCTATTCTAGTAGGCCTTGAAATTTAATGTGAATTCCATAATTAGCATTTTCTTTAAGATTGACAGTTATGTTCAATCTGTAATCAATTTTGGGGAGTATTGCCAACTTATTGATGCTTAACCTTTTAACCCATTAACATGAAATGCTTTTCTGTTGAGGTATTTCCTTTAGTATCTTGTGGTTTTTCAGAACATATGCTTTGTTAAATTTTTTCTTTTTCTTTTTTTTAATTTAATTTTAATTTTTATTTTTTGTGAACATACTGTACAGAGGGATTACAATTACATGGGCAAGATAATGAGTACATTTCTTATCAAGCATTGCAGCCTCCTCCTTTGTTTACCCTTCACATCCCTTCCCAGCCTCCCCCCGCCCCCCCCCCCCCCCCCCGCCCTCGCACCAAAGTTGTAAAGTTCGTTTTTGACATGACAACTTGTACTTCTCCTAGTTGCATCGGGTCCACCTGTATCCTTAAACGACTTGTTTTTCCCCATCTCCTCCACAAATTATACCGACATCAAATATAGTGAAAGCAGGGGTTATACTGTGGGGGAGGGACATACAAAGCTACAAAGAAATAATCTTATAAATGAGTTAGAAACAAATGCATGAAAGAAAAAACCATTTAAATACTTATCTAAGGGTTCATTTTCCTAACATCACATTATCTGACCTTTCCTGCTTGACTCATATACATACTAGATATTGCAAATAAGGGACCTTTGTTTCTTTGGGCTTGGCTTACCTCACTTAATATAATTTTTTCCAAGCCTTTCCATTTCCTAACAAATGGGGAAATGTCATTCTTTCTGATGGAGGCTTAGAATTCCATTGTGTATATATACCACATTTTCTTGATCCATTCATCTACTGAGGGGCATCTGGGTTGGTTCCATATCTTAGCTATGGTAAATAATGCTGCAATAAACATAGTTGTGCTGGTAGCTTTAGTGTGGTCTTGTTTGTAAACATTTGGGTAAATGCCAAAAGTGGGATTGTTCTCTAGTAGATTTAGATTTTTAGTAGATTTGTTAGTGGTTTATTTATGCCATCTGCAAATAGAGAAAACTTCCTTTTCAGTTTGGGGGCTTTTTATTTTTTCCTGCCCAAGTGGTTAGAACTTACTGTATATAATTGAATAGCAGTGACAAGACATACTTGTTTTGTTCTGACTTATTAGGACTAATTAATGAGGATAGCACAGGATACAAGATACCCTATTATGCTGTTAAACTTGGAATGAACAGCCTTAAAATGTAATTACGAAAAATTATGTCCAAAGGAACATCAAGGGTGTCAGGATGGCCGAGTGACGTAAGGTGCCAGACTCAAGCTCAGCTTCCCAAAGTAACATCTGAAAAAATAGTGAAGGAATAGTTCCTTCCTTACTACTTTTTTTTAAAGCAAAAGCTTTTATGGCTTTTTTGCTTATAATTCTTATAAAAGATCATTATAGTTAACTGCTCTAGTTTCAAGAAAAAAAAACTTGATTGCACTTTTATTGAAGTCATGTAGTAGTAGAAGGGTTTCTATTAGAAGGATTTTCACTAGAAGTCTACCTACATTAAATTCTCATAGTGTGAAACTCTTGACTAGTACCATGTAAGAAATGGGAAAGTCATAAAATGTCATTTGTTGGAATTTCACTTGTTTTTGAAATATTTCAACTGTGATTTCTCCTTTTTCTTTTATAATTTTTCCTGTAATTCAGTTCTGTTGTTTAATTACTGGAGGTGTCATTTTTCAAAGAAAAGTAAATTGAACTTGGTAGGATGCTTTAAAAAATCGAAAGAAAAAAATGACTTTTATCATAGTGACTAAAAGTTTCAAATTGTATTATCTTCATTACAGATTTGTTCTTTTGTTCACTTACTTTAATTTTTTAATACATTTGTTTTTCATTACAGGATGATAATGTCAAGTCTCTCCTCTGTAGCTTGATAAACTTTAGAAGTTCAATGACTTCTGAACAAGTTTTGAATGCTGAATGTTTCTTGCTGCCAAAGGGGAAGTCAATTCCAAACCCAGAAAAAGAGGTGGAATATGTTCAATATAAAAAGGAAGACGAATTAAAGATGGAGAACCTAGATAACTATAAAGAAAACAGAAGAGGTAGTGAAGCCAACATTGAGTGATAAATTGCGACTCTTTTGTAGGTAGTATTCCTTTAAAAGCTTGATGAATAGACAAAAAATATGGAAAATGTTCTTGAGCTAGTTGGACTGTGTGTTCAGGTTGCAAAAAAATAAAAGTTGGGTCTGTCTAAAGATGGTTCACATGCTGTGAAAGTTTTTTTTAATATATATATTATACTGTACAGATATTGTACAGAGGGTTAACCTCTCCAACCGGTCTTCCTCCCACCTAATATCCCCATTTTAGATTTGCTTTTGTTTCAACCTGGATTATGCATATGAGAGAAAGCATGCAATACTTTTTTTTTTAGAGTCCGGTTGAGGGCCTGAACTCTGGGCCTGGGTACTGTCCTTCAGCTCTTCAGCTCAAGGCTAGCGCTCTACCACTTGAGCCACAGTGCCACTTCCAGCTTTTTTTTTTCTGCTTATGTGGTGCTGAGGAATCGAACCCAGGGCCTCATGCATACAAGGCAAGTGCTCTACCACTGAGCCACCTTCTGTCTTATTTTGCTTAACATGATGGTCTCCAGATCCATCCATTTTCCCACAAATGACATAATTCTTCTTTGCAGCTAACAATACTCTATTGTTTATACATCCCACATTGTCTGTATTCATTTGTCCATTGATGAGCACTTAAGGTGAGTACTGCTAGAATAAAGATGATGTTCTGGTATCACTTTGGTTCCTTCAGATTTAAACCTAGAACTGGTCAGTAGGATTATATGGAAGTTCTACTTTCAATTATTTGAGGAGCCCAAATGGATTTTTTGTTGCACTAATTTACTGTAATCCTAGCTACTCAGAAGCTTGAGATCCAAGGATTAAAGCTAGCCTGGGCAGAGAAATCTGTGAGGCACTTATCTACAATTAACCACCAAAAACCTGGAAGTAAAGCTGTGGCTCATGTGGTAGAGTGCCAACCTTGAGCAAAAAAGCTCAGGCATAGTACCAGGACCCTGACTTCAAGCCTCAGTACTGATACATACAAAAAGATGATGAACAGGTAATAATGTGAGGTAAAAGTGACCAAAATCATAGAATACAATAAAATAGAGAATAACAGTATTTTTAATACATTTTTATTGTAAAGATACTGTACAGAGGGGTTACAGTTACATGAGTAAGGTAATAAGTCCATTTCCTATCAAGCAATTATGCCCTCCTTTGTTTTTCCCCTACCATCCCTTCCCTCCCACCTCTGAAACTCCTCCCTCGCCCTCCCCCAAAGTTATAAAGTTCGGTTTTTTTGCACATCTCATTGTTACAATGGGTCAAACTGTATCCTTAATTTCAGCATTTTGTTATTGCCTTTCCCCTCCCTAAATTAGAAAAACGTATATACAAGATGCAGGACCTGGGAATCAAATACATGAAAAGGGCTTATACCATGGGAGAAGAACATATAAAAGAAACAAAAAAAATCACATAGTACATTATAGGTATATTAAAACAACAGCAACAAAGATAAACCCTCTTGTGTCCCTATCTTGGGGTTCATTTCGCTTAGCATCATATATACATTGCTTTTGACTTTTCTGCTTGTGCTAGACATATACTAGTTATTGCAAACAAGGGAAACCATGGGACCTATGTTTCTTTGGGCCTGGCCTAATTCACTTAATATAATTTTTCCAAGCCTTTTCATTTCCTAACAAGTGGGGAGGTATCATTCTTTCTGATGCAGGCATAGAATTACACACACACACACACACACACACACACACACACACACACACACACACACACACACACACACACACACACACACACACACACACACACACACACACACACACACACACACACACACCACATTTTGTTGATGCATTCATCTACGGAGGGGCATCCGGATTGGCTCTTTGTTTTGGATGCACTTTTGGCAGGCAGCAGCAGAAGCACAGGCTCCTGAAAGCAACTAGTGATATTTTTCCTCCAGCGCCTCCAGCCTCTCAGTTACTCATTTATTGGAGATGTTGTGGGTTGACCCGAAAGGACTGAGGTTTTGGAGGTTTCAGCAAGTACAGGACCTGGGTGCAGCTCGCTGCTTTCCTCCTCTTTCTGTGGGCCCTTCCAGCTGGGATGAGATGCTTTTGGACATGGGACAGCAGAGCTGATCTTCCTCTTCTTCTGACCCATATCCAAGTGTTGTATAATACAGGGGGAAAGAGTTGGGCCTGCTGCCCACCTGCTCAGAGGCCAGGCTGATCATTTCACTAGGTTGGCCCATGGTGAGTAGTACTGCTGCTGCTGCTGCTGCTGGTGCCAGGGCAGCCTTGCTGCCCTCACTCTTCCCCTCTATGTTGGTGATGTGGGATCTCCAGAGGAGGCAGGAGGCACACAGACCTCCTGCTTTTCCTGCTACCACTCTCCTGCTGCTGTTCAGCAGGCAAGCCTGCAGCCTGGTAGCACACAGGAGCACTGGCTTTCTTCAAGTGCAGAGCTTGGCAGGTCCTTCGTGCAGGTGAGAGGCAAGGCGGAGGCCCAGGAAGTGCATGCCTTACCAGGCCAGTCAGGTGTTGGCCCTGGTCTTGCTGCTGCTTTAGAATTCTATAGGTGGCCATGCAGCCAGGCAGGGCTTGCCTGACCTGGTCTGGATCAAAGCCCAAGTAAGAGGCCGTGATATGCAGTATGGCAGATCTGGCTGGGCCAGGACACTCTGGCTGGGGCATGGTGAAGGTACCCCAGAACCACAGGTGGCACATCACTTGCCATTCAGCTGGCCTCTGTTGAGGGTTGGCTGTCATCAGATAGATTAAGATCCCTTGGAGAAGCTGGGCACCGGTGGCTCAGGCCTGTAATCCTAGCTACTCAGGAGGCTGAGATCTGAGGATCGAGGTTCAAAGCCGGTCCAGGCAGGAAACTCTGTGAAACTCTTATCTCCAATAAATCACCAGAAAACTGGAAGTGGCGCTGTAGCTCAAGTGGTAGAGCACTAGCCTTGAGCTGAAGAGCTGAGGGACAGCGCCTAGGCCCAGAGTTCAAGCTACATGACTGACAAAAAAAAAAAAAAAACCCTTGGAGTAAAGGGGAAAAGTTTCAGTATTGTAAACCTGCCTGCTAACACCTGGTTTTAAAATACAATCCATGAACTGTCTTCATAGGGCACATTGTCCAACACCATATAATACAGCAGCACCCCCAAGCTCCAGATTATCATTAATTTTCTCATCAAAAACAAGGGAAGCCAGAGAGATGTAGGTCAATCTATTCAGCCTTGAACATACTAATGATCAAACCCCAAATCTTGTCCACAGTAGCTGTTCCAGCATCTGGGTCCCTCAGAAGTGACACAAAGACTGCAGAATTTATTTATTTAGGGTCCAGTCTTGGGGCCTGAACTCTGGGCCTGGGCGCTGTCCCTCAGCTCTCTCAAGGGTAGCGCTCTACCACTTGAGCCACAGCGTCACTTCCGGCTTTTTCTGTTATGTGGTACTGAGGAATCGAACCCAGGGCCTCATGCATGCAAGGCAAGCGCTCTACCACTGAGCCACCTTCCCAGCCCATGCAGAATTTCTTTTTACCTACAGATCTGCCCTGAAAAAGTGGTTTTTTCATGGTGAAGTTCAACTTTCTTACAGGTATTTCTTAGAGGTATGAAGGAAGAACTCTAGGAAAGGTACAGTTATGGATGTTTATGTAAAGTAGGCCTCTTCATTTTCTGCATAATAGAAGCAACTCATGCAACTCAAATCCCTAACAGCACTTTAAGACACCAATTGCATTGCATGCAGTTGGCAGCTTATGGCTTTATTCAAAAGGATGAAACCCAGGGTCTTAAACGTCTGAGACAAACCTTGAACCAGCTCCTGCACAGACCTAACCCTAAAATGTTTTTTTATCCTGGATTCCACATTCCCTGTGAGGAAGGCAGGGCAAGAAGCTGGCACTGCCTTAAAGATGAACACATTGAGTGCAAAGACACATGAATGCAGCCTTCTGTGGTGGTTCTCTGTCTCTTCAAGTCACACATAGCCAAGGAATCTCAGAATGTCAGTTAACTGAAAAGAACTGCCTCTTGCTAGTCATATGAAGTCCATCTGCAGCTACCTGAAAAGCTGCTTTCATGTTGAGATAATTTCCACTGTGATTATGGTGCAGTGTGTGGACTGAGAGAGAAGAGTACAGGGAGAAGAAGGGCTCTGGTGAGAGGGTGGGGCTCAGTCTTTGTGGCTGCTGGTAGTCTTTAGCTCTCCTAGATGGAGCAGTGTCCTTAGGGAGAGAGAACAGACTCTAGGAATGGGGCTTGGCATAGAAAGAGTGTCTTAATCCTGTGTGGGTTATGACTGGCTATAACTCCCCTATCTTCAGTAGGGCCCTTACTTAAATAGATGCTAGAGTTGAGTTTGGGGGATGTAGTTTGTTGTGTTGAGGTGTGTGCCAGTCCTGGAGCTTTGTCTCAGGGCTTAGCAGCTGTCTTTGAGCCTTTGTCCTTGATTAACACTCTACTCTGTGAGCCACAGGTTCACTCCCAGCTTTTGGGTAGATAATTGGAGATAAGAGTCTTATGCCTGTCTGCCTGCGTTTGAACTGTGATTCTCAGATCTCAGCTTCCTGAGTAGCTCAGATTTTAGGCTTGAGCCACTGGCACTGGGCTCCTGTGGCGAATTTGCAAAGTTAGTTGGTAGCTCTCGCTGTGTCCATTCATCCTGCTTGAGAAGGCAGTGGGCTGGGAGTGGTTGTTCCTTCTCCTCAGCTAATTAGAAGCCTTTGCTGCAGTGTTTTATTTGCATAAGACATAATGCTTTGATCTCTCTTTCTTGCTCCCTCATCCATTCTTCTTTTTGCTCAACTTTCTCCTTTATCCACTCATACTTGATCCAATCATTCAACTTATTTATTTTTTCAACATATCCACAAACCCACAAATACAACATACACATAAACAAACTCATAGAGACTCACAGAGACACATAGAGAGAGTGACAGGGAGGTAGAGGGAGAGAGAGCATTCCCTCCTGTTTTTATTCAAGTAGAGAGAGAATATAATAATGCTTCTGGAGTAGCCTTTGAGTTATATTCTTAAAAAACTTGAAAAAAATCCTGTATTTATTTTATTGTGAAAATACTGTACAGAGGGGTTACAATTACATGGACAAGATAATG